TAATAAGTTCAGGGGTTAACTTGCAAATTTACAATGGGAGTAGGTGTAGTGATAACTACACTGTCACCATCACTACATTCTTTTTAAAGATGTATATATATGTATGGATGTAAATGTGATCCTCAACTCCTCATATTGTATCTTCTCATGGGAGTATCTCAAATGAAGAAACCTGAACTCCTTCTGTAGTTGGCTATGTGTACCTCTACATTGCAACAAACAAAACCTCTTCATATGGCAATGTGAAATCATTGTCATAATTAATATTTGTGACGAACAATTGGCTATGCAAATGATTTAATCAAAGAATTGGTTTGAGAGTTTGTGTGAATGTTGGTGTGAGTGCGTGTGACTAATGTGGGTCAGGTTGTGATATCTGTGCCCAGAAACGGTTGTTTTGTCTAATTGTGTGCAGGTGACTTGAGTCCAGCCTTGGTCAATGGTGAGGACCGGGACTATGCTCAGGGAGGAGCATAGGTCTATTGCGGTCGGGATACCATGTGAGAAGGTGACTAGAGTCTGGATTCTTGGAGGTCAACTTCGGTCAACGGTGGGGATCGGGACTAGACTCAGGGAGGAGTTGAGTTCCAGACGGTCAAGGATACCGGTGACGAAGTTGGATACAAGATAGCATACAGTGGATGGACATCGTGTGGGAGAGATCTTCGCAACGGGCTTCACGAGGTGTGCGTGCAAGTGCCGGTGTTCGCGAAGAGAATTGTAAAGTTGGAGTAGTATATGGTGCTACAGTACACGAGGTACTGTAGCGTGCAGGTATGCATGCATGTACGGTGCTGTACATGTATGTGTGATCGATACATGCATGGTGAAGCATGTATGTGTGCATGACTGGTTGGCCGAGCAGCAGGAGAGCGGCTCAGTGGGCTTCGGTGGCTGTTGGCGGCATGCCAAGTCGGCCCAGGAGAAGTAAGGGCCCAGTTGGCAGCGAGTCGGAGACGGTCACGCGTGGACGTCAGCTTGGGAGCGAATCCGTTTTGGATTTCTGGTGCGGTCGGTTGTTTGCTGCACGTTTGGAAATTGTAAAACGTATGGAAACTGAAAGATGGAGTCCTATTGTGTATAGGAGTTATACACATACTTTGAGTAGGGGTTTTTTTGGTATAAATAGAGAGGGAGCGTGAGGCTTCCTATATCGCTTTAGAGAGCAATAGAGTTGAGTTTTGGTTTAGGGTTTCGAGTTTAGTCAAAATTTTTGTAAGGAGTGCTGTTGTTGCACTTTGTAAACACAGGGAGAAATAATAAAGTCGTCATCCACTTTAAGAGTTCTTCGATTTGTGTTTCACCGGGTTTCGGCGGTCTAACCAGCAACTCATCGGTGGTCAGACCGGCGGCATTGCGGCGGTCAGACCGGCGGCGGCGACAGGTGCGGCAGGCGACTTCGGCGATCAGACCGGAGATTCAACACCGGTCAGACCGGCAGCATCCACTCGGTCAGACCGGCAGATCAATCTCGGTCAGACCGACTTCCGTCGATTTCGAGGATAACTTTTATTTCCGCTAAAAGTTTTCGGTTTTTGGGTGTATCAACCATTCACCCCCTCCTCTGGTTGGCTTAGTTCTTATGATTCGATCTACAGGCACCATAAGGCACCATAAGAGGGAGTCGATCCATTGCTAGCGCTTGCAAGGTGACAACGTTTTAGTGAGAACAGAGAAGTCCGTGTGATTTTTGTTACTTGGTTAGTTTGATTATATGGATTGGGAGGTATTGGGAAATGAAATGATTCGTGGCAAAGGAATCATAGTAGATCTTGGCCAAACTGGGAAGCGAAAGCAGAACTCCCCACGGGCTATTACAAGGCAATCACACGTGTAGTCTACTGCCTACCTCCTTTCTCCTCAAGACTGCGCTTTTGCTTGCCTCTAAAGTCCTAATTGGCTGCAGAGGCCAGAAGAGCATGCCATGCCCCTGATGAAAATGCATGCCAAAGAGCTACCTGCAAGCCTGGCCTGACATAGTAATTTGGGCAATGTTCGGTTCATACCGGCGTTGAGAATACTAAAGCTCGATTGAACTTTGAATACTGCTATTGCTACAAATTATTTTCGAAAATAGTGGTATCCACAATATCAAAAAAAATTTCGCCTGTCCTAAATCATTTAGTTTTACTTTTAATACTACTTTGTGTTTGTTGTGATGTGTTGCATTGCGCTTATTTTTGTTGTGAAAATGAGAACATATAATCATTATACTTTGTTTTATATTGTAATATCCTGAAAATGTGTCATTTTCTAATCTTGCATCATGCTGATTCTTATTCTTATGTTCTTAATAACCTTCTAAACCTAGGAAAATATAATTAGTAGGACCTCCTAAAACTAACTTGCATAAAACCTCTCTGGTATTTAATCTCTTTTGTGTTTTTCATTTAAAAACATATTTGATATTTCTTGTTGGAATTCTATTTTTGAATATTAAACCTTCTTTCGACTAAAACTCTTTTATTCAAAATTTAGTTTGAAAACCATTTTTACTATAATGAATTATGGTCCAAGAAAACCTCCAATTTTGCCCTTGAACCTAGACCAAAGTAATTCCAATCTCATTAGAATTAATTGTTAATTCCATCCTTTGATCTTAAACCCATCCTTTGATTCTCGATCCAAATATCCAAATTCCTCCTTTTGATCTAGCCACCAATTTAATCTCTGTGGCTTAATTTCCTCTTCGGCACAAGAATTGTATTATTACAAATATTGTGAACAATTGCTCTTGTGCTAAGAAAATTCCAATTTATATTCTTCACTCAACTTCCCCTTTTAGCCATAAATATACATAACACCAATTTTAGAGCTCAAATCCTATTTATTGTCTTCAACTAATTCCCTTCTATATTCCCAAAAATATTTGAGGAATATTATTAATTTCCCTTCCTATTTGAGTGCTTCCAAATAAATTCCCTCAAACTCCACCTCTAAATATTGCACTCAAATAAATTAAGAAATCTCTTTTATGAATTCTCTCCGAATTCAAATTCTTCGCAAAATCTAGTTATCCAAATCAAGTATTCAAATTAGACTTCCTTTCTTTTTGTCATCGGGCCGAAACTCCATTCTTTCTTCCTTTTGGCCCAATCCCTTTTCTTTTCTATTTTTCCTCCTCCTTCTTGGGCTGCCGGCCCAGCTAAGCCGAGCCGGCCCAAACCAGCCCACATCCCAGCCGAGCCGTCTCCTCCTCCCGTGCGCGTGCCGTGCACGGCTCACGCCGCCGCCAACTCCTCTTCCGTCGCCGCTAAGGAAACGAAGCCGGCCGCCGTCGTTCGAATTCTCACGCTACCGTCGCCGTGTCCTTCTCGATCTCCTCCTCCAAACCGCCTCTCACCACCGCCTCTCACCCCTATAAATAGCCGGCCCTTCTCTACACACAAGCCGAACTCTCTCTCTCTTCTCTCTCTCCCATGCCGGCCACCATCTTGCCATGCCCAATCTCCTTTACCGGAGCAACACTAACCAAATCCTCGCGCCACCATACTTGCCTCCCTCCGACGAACCCATTTTTCTAGTTTCCCCTCTCCTTTAGCCATCCTATAAGCCACCATCACCACTTCTTTTACTCGCCAGAGTTGAGCTCTTGTCGTCGCCGTTCCGGCCATCTCCCTTTCTCTCTCCACCAGACACCGACCTCCCCGGGTGCGTCGTGCTCGGGAACACGCGTGGACGCCGACGTCACCGCCCTCCAGCCACCGGAGCGCCGCCGCCCCGATTGCCTTCTCCTCTCTCTTCTCTCGGCTCTCTCTGGAACAGAGAAGAAGAAAGGAACGGGAGGAAGAAGGAGAAGAAAAAGAAAAAGACTGACAGGTGGGCCCCTGCACAGTGACTTTTCTCATTTTCTAGATTTAATTCAAATCCTATTCTTTAGAAGCCCATATGTCCTAAACCGTAGATCCGATTCCAGTCAAATTTGGACCTCAATTCATCTAAATTCAAACTCTTCATTTTAATATCAAATTTGCTATTTTAAGATTTTATTTGAATTTCCTTAATTTATTCAAATACCATCCGAATAAATATTTGATTTAATCTTATAATTGAATTTACAATTTAAACTTATATTTGCTTTCCAAATATTTTCTTTTATTTCCAAAATACCCTTTAGCCACTAAAAAGCCGCCGGTTGGAACTTTACGCCTTCCATGGGGACGTTCGCGGTCTACGGACCTCAACGTCGGACCGTTGGTTGTAAAGCCCGGCCTAAACCAAACCCAAGGTCGAAGTGCTGCTCCTGGAACCCCACGCCTTGATGCGTACAGCGGTCGGAGCTTCACTATCCCCTCGACCTTTATTGCACGCCGCACAGTTAGCTCTCGGGCTCTGTGTGATCCTAGCCGCTCCGCCGCTACTCACGGTTGTCGGAGTAACACTTCCGCCCCACTAAACCTGCGCCCACCTCCTATTCTTCTAGCCGATATGCTGTCTATCGACACGTCTAGAAATGATACCAAACCTAGTCGTTATGCTGTCCAACTCTAGCAACGACTAGCAAACACCTAAAACCCTAGCCGATATTTATCCTACCTCGATATCGGCCTAAACAACTAAATCCTAGCCACTATTCTATCAAAGCTAACCTTGACCCATATTAGCCACATACCTATTTAACCATATCAACTATCTTGTATATTTCCTATCATCCAAACCACGAGAGCCTCCACATAAAATATAGAGCCTAGCCGATATGCTATCCTACTCCACAAATGACTCCCATACAACTAAACCCTAGGTATTATACTACCTAAACCTACCGCTAGCAAATACTAGCCCCATAATCCCTATACCCTATAAAAGAGATAGGTTATACATTAAACCCAAGCCCTCTTTACCGTTTATCGTTTTCTTATTATTTTATGGTTTTTATTGAAATTGGTTCTTCCTCTTTCTTAGTAGAGTCTATTGTCTTTTGGATGGCAACCTATGGTATTTCAAGAATTGGATAATCAGGTTGCCTATCTTGGATTTATTTGCGTTGGAGCAAGGCAAGTTATTATTCCTCCCCTTTGACCATAATTATCCTATATTCTACATTCTATTCTATGCATTTGCCATTCATGATTTTGAATGCATAATCTGAACATATAGCAAACCAGTTATATGCTAGCTTTTGCTTAGCCCTGCCTAGTTAAATTGCATAAAATATAATGAACTTAGATTGGGACAGTACGCAAGATTTGGTTGATTTCCGGGTGGCTAGTACTGTCTCAGTCGATATAAGTTTACCAAGTACTTATGTCAAACAAACGAGTACGACCGCAGCTTCTAGAATGGGGACAGACCTAGATATTATGTTAATTAACAATGTGGTACCTCCGTACAGTGGTTCTTATGTAAGTCCTCGCAAAGGAGACAAACTTATGCCGAGAAGGGCAAATGTGATATTTACCGAGGCGCAGGTAAATATCTTGATTATCGCGCGATGTGTGTGTGAATTTATGAAAACCTGGTTGAGATGACGTGGGGTCTCTCATCCAATTCTCTCTAAAAACCCCGGGAACGCCAGAACTCCTCTCGTTGCTGATAACATTACGTTCAGAGCGCATGGGGACTAGAGTTCATGGAACAGGTACCACAATTGTTAATAACCTAATACTGGGCCATGAATAAGCTAATGATTATTGGCATGTTATGGACTACAGGTAAAGCATACATCTACTGCAGAATGAATATCCTTGAATCTATTCGAATAGCCGTGCTCACGGATCTGAGCATTGGGACTCATATGGTACTTTGGTTAGAAATATAATTCAAGATTTTCTTAAATACTGTTGCATATATGAAACATTTCAGGATTTCCACCTTTTTATTCTCAGCTTTCTGCAAGTAAATCTACCTCTACACAGATATTACCTCTCATGCATTCATTGTTGAATAATATAATAGCTTACTGAGTACGTTGTACTCACCCTTGCTTCAACCCCTCTTTTTCAGAGTCTATTTGGAGTTGTTGCCGAAGCTGGGAGTTCAATCACATAAGTTAGTTCCCTTTAAACCTAATCTTCAAGTCTAGTATAATTAGATGGTTTAATTCTATAGTAAAACAGCAAAGTTGGATCATCATATAGCTTCTGCTGTAATAGTTAACCACAAACTTGTAAATATCCTATTATTTTATATAAAGATATCTCCTTTGGAGTCTTGACCAAATGTATGCGATGAAGATCTAGCTTGTTGAACCTGTATCAATCTACTGATCCAGGGTTTGATACAGTTAAACATGTCGGTTTCTAAATCGTTAGTTTTGGGAGCCGACATATATATAGAATTATAACTAGATGAAATAAGTTATTTAACTGTTGTGCCTCGCACAATTGTTTCTTTTAAAAAAATATAATACTCCGCGGCCCTCGTCCTGTCCTCGCCACACTCCTTATATTCATCCCTACCATTGCAGTTGCCTCCCTTATGTCCACCCAGTGCCGCCACCCTACCTTCACTGCCGATGAAAAGCACGAGCTAGAGGAATAGTGAGTGTAGCGTGATGATAAGCCAAAGTAGTGTCCTCGGTGCAGCACGAACCAGCTTTAAACTCTAGTCTCCATGTGACTTTTTCCCAACGCCAACAATGCCGATCTCCATCCACATGACTTTGACCTGTTGTTCAAGGCGCCGCTCCAGCTCGACCACCTACTCCCTCCGGCACCCACACCTTCGTCGGCCCCATGCCCGGACCACCGGCTAAGGCCATCGCCAAGCCCCTTTGGCTCATCATCCATTGACTGCCACCATCGACCGTAAGTTGTACAGCCATTGAATGCGACACCACTCAGACGTTGCCCATTGTCTGCTGCAGGAGCAACTTCTATTTGTCAGAGGTGCAGTATTAGACCAAAATCGATCGGTATCATGCCTGATACCAAAGGAGTATCAGCCTGGTGTCAACAGGGTATCAGCTGGTGTCGATGGGTATCAGTTAGTATCGATGGGTATTAGCTAGTACCTACAGGGTACTAGAGCTAGTACCTACCTAGTATCATCTCGTCCAAACATGATAACTTGATATAGCAGCCCCCTAATTAAAATCCATTATCTAAAAAATATATGATGTTGAGGTTGGTTGATGGAGCTAAGTCGTGGTGCAGCCCTAGCAACGCTTCGAATTGTGGCAGGAAGCGATAAATTGGAGCACGTGTTTAGGAGGCAGGCCATGGTGAGCGCATAGTGAAAGTGTAGTGGTTATGGTGAGTGTGACACTCCTCTGTGCGTGCATGATGCGTGGTGCGTGCGTAGTGAGATCGCGTTTGGCAGATCATGGGATGGAACGACAATTCCGGTCGTTTAGTTGGTCTTTTCATTCTATATGTAGAATGTTTACTTATGTAATTGATTCGAGGAAGAGAAAACCCCACAAAATTACCCCAATTTTTCTTGAGAAAATTCCTTGTATGCCCCTGAAATTTCGCTCCATCCCTTCTGTGCCCTTGAGTTTTGACGTATCTCTTATATGCACCCGAGTTTTCATTTTGATCTCCTCCAAGCCCATACCGTTAGTTGACCATCAGTTGACCATTAAGTTATTTTCAAAATGACTATATTACCCCTACTTAGAGTACCTATGCGCTAGCTTTTTCACCAACATAATTTTCGAGTTGAAAAATATTTTATTAGTAAACAACAAAAAGAATGTGTTTATTTGACCTCAAAGTTTGAAAAGTTAAATTTAAAATTTTAAAAATTTAGATCAAATTTCATAAAACATTCTTATTTATATTTAAATTCAAGTTAAATATAGTTTTAATTTCTAAATGTTCGGTGAAACTTCTATATGAGTTTCATTAATTTTGTTAAAGCTTGCTTGAAAATCTATTAAAAATATTTCAAAAAATAAATATTGGTTTTGAAATTTAGGCTCAACTATCTATACAAAATTTAAAAAGTTCACATTAAGCTTTATTTAGCGCCTTTTGAAGTGATCACATGACTATAAAAAGGGCAACATGGCCATTTTGGAAAAAAGATAACGGTGAACTAACGGTATGGGTATAAACGGGATCAAGACGAAATCTCAGAGGTATACAAGGGATGTGACAAAATTCAAGGGCATGCAAGGGATGGAGCAAACTTTTAGGGGTATGTAAGGAATTGCCCCATTTTTCTTTTGCAGACTTTGTTCTTGCTCCCTTTTTGTTATGTTCTTGTTCGTGCTAGCCAATTGCTTTTGTCAAATTCGCTGCAATTTCTGTGATATCCTGCCAATTGCCAATGATGGCACCTACTTATCCATAGGAATTTAAGAATGGGAGGTGTTGAGAATTCATCAGTCTCGAGTAAACTGGGATGAACATAGCATGTGCACTTCCAACAGGGATAGATACTAGATACTAGGAGAGTTATGGTTGTCAGCCCTTATTATGCGAGAGCCTCGAGATGAACGGTAGTCTCTGGTTGATCAAGATACACGCACCGATGATTCTTGTTTGCTGGTTTCTCTGTTTGATTCATGGCAGGACAATTTTCTAGTTGAAAATCGACAAATTTTTTTAGTCTCCGTATGATTTCCTTGAGTCGATGAATTTTCTGATTGACAAGATATTCTAGCTCAGACGAAATATGAAGTTGTGGCAAATCACCGAGCTAACCTTTATTTATTATTGTTAACTCCTTGCTAAATACGTGGATTATAATGAGAGGGGTGAATATATTGATGAGGGATAGAAGAGGGAGATTTTAAGCAAAAGTGCTTTACAATATGAGAATGACAAGTACTTTAAAAAAACAACATGTGAATACTTGTGGGGACACCCCAAGAAGGTCAAAGTGCCCCACGTATACGTAACTTCCAAGGAAGTCCATTTACGCATGAAACGATATAAAAGCACAAACTTCAATTATACATTATTCAAACCACAGAGGTCACAACACAATGGGAATATAAACTATAAGTCTTATTCTCACAAACAGTTTAACTAGTAAACTTAACCATAGGAACAGCCTGAGCATAGAGTGACCTAGAAACCGTAACCATAGGTCCTTCAAACAAATCATAGAAATCACCAACATCTACAGCATATCATCGTGATCTAAACCCATTTATGAGTACAGAAGGTACTCAGCAAGCATGCTTGTAATAACAAATATAATGCATTATTTTGGAATGACCATCTTAATAACCATTTGATTAAACATCATTATTAAACGTTTAATATAAACATCATTAGTAACTAACTTAAACAAATCTAGTTACCTTTAGTGATATTATTAACCATTTTATCTGATAATCATTTCAACCATATTAATTAATAGCCAACTAGTTTAACTTGCACCCTTACTCTAGAGTCACCCACAGACACATCTCCATTAACCGGGAACATGTCATATTCGAATACAATACGTATTTGCAGCGTCTACCCAGCTTTACCCGCATGATACCCTAGCTGGCCGGGCTAAAAAGTAAGAGGCGCAATACTATTCCAAGCTTTTCTCCATTCCACATAGTAGGTTAAAGGATGTAAATATTGGTATTTGGCCTAGGGTGATCCTAGCGCGGAGTGTGTCCTGACATACCTCAACATCCACTTACCATTGCAAGACTCAGGTATCCCATCACCAGAGAAAGCGCCGAGAACATTGTTGCTGCCCATTTTGTCACTGCCGGATAAGGCTCCACTCTCTCGCGCGTGCATGGAGGAACCGGCACTTGCCGCGTCGCCGCCAAAGAGGGTGCTCCCCTATCTCACGACTCTTCGAATGTTGTGATGGCATTAGATGGTGTGTTTCTGGCAACCGAAGGATGTGGTTGTGTTCAGTCACCAAATCATATATATAGCTCATAATTTCCTTCAACTCTGTTTAATGTTATTCCCATATGAACATTGCAGCCAGTTCTTGTCTCTACTAGAGGATTTTTGGTTAGATAATCTCTTTTATGTTTTCCTCGATAACCAGCACTTGAGCAAACAAACCATCTACTTGGGCCCATCTGCTGCACTTTTGTTATTATACTGCTTCCTAACATCAAAGCCAATCTTACCACCATAGCTAACCCAAAATTTCCAAGCCTCGTCTACACAGCTAAACTTCATTCCAGTCCTAGGCATCCAACATGGTGTGCTATCCATTCTACAAATAAATAAGAAAACCATCTGTGACATATGTTTGATTGGAAGATGCCCCAAAAACTGCTATTGAAAACCAATGAAATAATAAGAATAGATGCAAGCAACAAACCTTCACTTCTCTGCATTTTGGTTGATCCTACTTTCCTCCATCTCCTGTTGGCTCATATTTGTGGAAGCATCTTTGGCGCTAAGAGAAATTGGGAGATAAGTAGAACACATGATAGATAGAAATATGCCTCAAAATTTGTTACTGGAAGCCAAGAAAACCATAAAAAAAAATAGATGCAAGCAGCAATCTTCACTTGCCTCTCTAAAGTTTGGTTGATCGTACTTCTCTCCATCTCCTGTTCATTTATCTTCATAGATCCACTTCAGTGTTGAGAGAAATTGGAAGAGGTATGGCATGAGAGAGAGAAAATGAAAAGACTCATAGGAAGCAAGTCCGTAGAAATTGGAGGAAAAAGGAGTCCTGCAAAGGTTTTGGCATCTAAAATCAACCTGGGCCTACTGCTCTTCCCCTAAGGCCCATTTCATTTTTGCCTTATCTAATCCAGAGGATACAGATGGATGGACTGGATTGGAGCTAATGCCACCCTCTGCATTAGCTTCTCTAATGTAGAGGACCCAAATCCCCAAACTAGAGTTGAAAGGCCATATTTTGAGCATCGGTGCAAAAATAGGTTGTGGAGGATAGATTGCAAACTTCCTACAGTGACCACATGAGCAACGGAAACTCTAATGAGCGATCAATCGCCCTGGCTATTGGCTAGCAATCGCCCCATTCCCCCCTCCCTCCCTCCACCTGGTTTCCTTTTTTTGGCACCGCATTACTTTTCTATTTTAGTAAATTTATGCACCTAAAGTTTATACACCTCAAGTTTACACATCTAAAGTTTAGAGACCAAAAGTTTATAAGTCAAAAGTTTATATATCCGATTCAAATTTGAATTTGAATTCAAATATTTTTTTATATATAGTATTTCTATACATCTAAAATTTATACACCTAAAGTTTATAGACCTAAAGTTTATAAGTCAAAAGTTTATATACCCGTTTCAAATTTGAATTTGAATTATATCTGATTCAAATTTGAATTTGAATTCAAAAATTTTCTATATATAGTATTTCTATACATCTAAAATTTATACACCTAAAGTTTATAGATCCAAAGTTTATAAGTCAAAAGTTTACATACCCGATTCAAATTTGAATTTGAATTTGAATTTGAATTTTTATATATAGTATTTCTATGGGTGAATAGCCAAAGTGGTCCTCCAAGTTTCATCGAAAGCTCAGTTTAGTCCTTGATGTTTCAATCTATCCATATTAGTCATTCAAGTTTTCATCTTAGTTCAAACTTATCCTTGAACCAACAACTCTCTTGATAAATGACACTTATACCCCCATCATTCACATATATAACAGAAAATTGCATGCTTGATTTTTTTTTATAGAAAATGCATAGTAAATTATGTAAAACGAAAATAAATTATGTACTAGCAAATGTATACGATAGTAATTGCTTAAGTTTCATGTGCACATGTTGAAATAATAGGAAAAACATCTGCAATGTTATTTATTCATCTTGGTTTTCTCTTTTCTATCTAGTATATAGCTAAATACAAATTAAGGGCAAAAGGGACATTTTCTAATAGAAATATTGACTACAAATAGCCATATGGCATATTAAGTGGGCCCAAGGATGATTTCAAGCCAAAACAAATATTTAGAGGAGTTATGTGGACAAAATGAAACGTGAAGGACCAAATTGAGCCTTCGATGAAACTTGAAGGACTAAATTAGCTATTCATCCTATTTCTATCCATAATTTTTTCTAACTTTTGTTTTTTTAAAAAAAAATTATGGTGTACTGTAATAGGAAGAAAAGATGGGGAGGAGAAAGGGGGAGAAGAGGAAGGAATCGGCATAGGGGGAGGGGAGTGCGGGTGATCTCTCAGTAGGACCCCATGAGCTACTGATTGTTAGTTGTGGTAAATATAAGTACATATATTAAAACATTGTTCCGCGGTTGAGCTTTGACCCACCGGTCAGACCAATGAACCAATGAAAGCACTACTGATTTGACTGCTGGTCCGGTTATTTTAACTATGCTTGCAACTGGTAGCATCTTAATAATGTGTAGTAGTATGCATGCCTTTTGTGACCTTTTAAAGCCATGGTTCTCTCTCTTTCTCTGACCATTTAGGGCTTCAGTAAATGCTAAGTACTCAGGCAGGCAGAGGTACAAGAAGACAACATTTTTTTTCTAATAATGGAAAGAAAAAACAACTCCTAACATTTAACATCTTGCACTAGTTATTCCTTGAGTCCACTCTAAAGGAGATCCTCCACTTTCCCTAAAGTATATCTGTTAATTTTATCTTGTACTGTATGCGTGTAACAGAAAAAAGAAAATTGTTAAGTTAATCATGCACCAATCTAGAGGCGTATTAAGCTAAGTTTTTGGGTACCAAATATGTACTTGTCCAAAGTCAACAACAACTAAAGAAACGTTAGCAATAACGTGTTTGCAAAAGAGAGACTTGCAAATGGTGTGCATCTCAAGAAGAGAGACTTGCATAGTCTCTTCTAGTAATCATATAGTAACACTTGCTAGGACAACTCTAACATTGTGCCTACCTGCAGAATATCTCAGCTCAGCAGCGATATGGAGGGAGCCATGGTAAGCGCTCTGACGGGGGCACTGAACTCTCTTCTCTTCAAGCTCAATGACCTGCTCGGAAGCGAACACAAATCTCTCAAAGGGTTAAGGGGGGAGATCAGGTTCCTCGAGAGCGAGCTTCGCAGCATGAACTCGATGCTTGAGAGGCTCGCAGACATGGAGGAAATCGATGCCCAGACAAAGGAGTAGAGGGACAGGGTGCGGGAGATGGCCTACGACATCGAGGATTGCATCGACCTCTTCGTGCATCACCTCGGCTCCCTCACCGGGAAAGCCGGGGTCATCAAGAAGATGGCATGGAGAATCAAGGGGCTACAGTTGTCGCATCGGATCAGCGGGCGGATACAAGAGCTGAAGGCTCGTGTCATGGACGAGAGCGATCGGTACAGAAGGTACGACACGATGAACATCTCCAGCATGAGCTCTGAAGCACATCTGCACAGAGATGCCTCCGGTTCTAGAACTAGATCAGTTGATCCTCGATTGTCCGCTCTCTACACGGAGGCGGAGAGACTTGTTGGAATCGATGGACCAAAGGATAAGATCATCAAATGGCTAATGGATACGCAAGGAGGCATCTCACAACGGCTCAGAACAATGGCGATCGTTGGGTGTGGAGGTTTGGGCAAGACCACACTTGCAAACCAAGTTTACCTTGAAGTTAAAAATCAGTTTGATTGCAGCGCTTTTGTGACCGTGTCGCAAAATCCTGACGTGAAGCATGTTCTGGCAAAATTCCTCTCTGATGTTTCCGGGGCCATTGGTGGTGCATTGGCTGATGAACATCACTTAATCAACAAGCTAAGAGAATACCTCCAGGATAAAAGGTATGTTGGGTTTCAGTTTTGGATTCTAGAACCAATGTTTTCTTACGACAAAAGGAGCATAAATTAATCAATTTCTTTTACTATTAATTTTGGTGCCTTTTAAGTATTGAGGTACCGAAATGTAGAAACGATACAATTAGCATCCTTAGAAGATAAGTTGTAGAAACAATACAGGCTCAAATGATGTTCCCTTTCTATTGCTTTTTGGAACAAACTTTTCTGTATCAATACATCCTTGGTTGATAATTAAAAGTCATGTGAAACAGATATTTTCTTGTCATTGATGATATATGGGATGCACAAACTTGGAGAATAATTGAGTGTGCATTGGTCAAGAACAGTCAAGGTAGCAGAATAGTCACCACAACACGTATAAATGAAATAGCTAAATCTTGCTGCTGCTCTTATGGTGATCAAGTATATGAAATGAAAGCTCTTTGTGCTACTGACTCCAAAAGATTGTTTTTCAGAAGAATTTTCAATTCTGATGAAAGGTGCCCTCCTCAATTGAGGGAAGCTGCCAATAACATATTGAGAAAGTGCGGTGGCTTACCATTGGCTATTATTTCTATATCAAGTTTGCTGGCTACCAAACCAAAATCATTAGACCAGTGGGATAAGGTGAAAAGTCGAATTAATTATACACAAGAAAACAGTCCAGATATTGAAACAATGGCATGGGTTTTATCTCTCAGCTACTTTGATCTTCCTCATCATCTAAAGACATGTTTAATGTATTTGAGTATATTTCCAGAAGATTATGTGATAAAGAAAGAGCGTCTAATAGGTAGATGGATTGCTGAAGGATTCATTCATGCAAAACAAGGGGAAAGCCTATATGAGATAGGAGAGAATTATTTCAATGAGCTCATCAATAGGAGCTTGCTCCAGCCAGTAGACATAGAGGATGATGGTCAGGTGCATGCTTGCCGAGTGCACGATACCATCCTTGATTTCGTCGTGTCCAGATCAAATGAAGAAAATTTTGTTACTATGGTTGGTGCTTCAGATCTCACATCTACTCCAACTGGCAAGATTCGTCGCCTATCATTCCATAAAAACAGTGAAGGAAGTGTCACAATGCCAACATACCTGCTCAGATCCCATGTCCGGTCATTGACGACATTTTTGCACGCTGGACAGGTGCCTCCTCTTCTGGGTTTTTATGGTCTGCGTGTGTTGGACCTTGAAAATTGTAGTGGATTGAAAAACCATGATCTTAAAAGTATAGGAAGACTAATTCAGTTGAGGTATCTGAACATCAAAGGGACAGATATAAGTGATCTGCCATGTCAGATACGGGAACTTCAATATCTGGAGACATTAGACATCAGATCAACTCATGTGAAAGAATTGCCTTCAGCAATTGTTCAGCTTCAACGGTTGGCGCATCTGCTTGTTGATTGCCATGTTAAACTACCTGATGGAATTGGAAATATGCAAGCATTGGAAGAGCTAACAGGTTTCTCTGTTTTCATGTATCCTTCAACATTTCTGCAAGAGATAGGAAAGATCTCCAGTCTAAGGGTGTTGAGGGTAGTTTGGAACTACGTCGACTTTCAAGGAAATGCAGAAACTTACAGGGAAAATCTGGCCATTTCTCTCACCAAGCTAGGCACATGCTACCTTGAGTCTCTTTCTCTTGATATCCATGGACATGACGAGGAAGACGATTTCTCACTACATTTGTGGACCCTTGCTCCTTGTAGACTCCGGAAATTATACATTGGTCGATGGCATCCCATTTCCAGGATACCAAACTGGACTGAATCCCTTGCAAACCTTCAGTACTTGCATATATATGTCAAAAGAATTAACCAAGAAGATCTGAGGATGCTTGGAAGCATACCTTCTCTCCTCACTCTATACCTATTCTCCGATGAGGCCCCTAAAGAGAAGCTCACCATCAGTAGCCAAGGATTCCAATCTCTAACATTCTTTAAGATTCACTGCTATCATATGGGATTGGTTTTTGAGGCAGGATCTATGGCAAAGCTCGAGTACCTTCATATCCTGATCAGTGCATTTCAAGTGAAGTCTTGGGATGGCAGCTTTGATTTTGGGATTCAGCATCTCTACTGCCTCACCAAGGTGTATGCCTATATTAACTGTTATGGCTTGACCGCTGAGGAGGCTGAAGCTGCAGTGAATGCCATTATGATTTCTGTTGACACGATCCCTAATTGTCCCAAGCTGCAGATTGATAGGCGATATGCACCCTTGTGATGAAGAATAAATATTTTTTTTTTGCTAACTGATGCACATACTGCTGCTGTGATCTCAATTGTTACATCTATTTTTCACTTCCATATATAGCTTTGCTCCTGTAATTTCTTTCAGCAGTATCAAATTAAAGGGCTTGAGGTTTGGCAATGATTTGGTCCAAAGACTTCATTTCATTTAAATGGATGTTCCAATTAATCTTTCTTGCATATATTTGTTCAATAACCAAAGGGAGAGAACGGTTACAAAAATCAAAAAAGAAAAAAAATCAAACTACCAAGCCTGAGTTAACTTGAAGACCCTCCTTGTGGTCTGACCACAGTTAAACTTTTAAAAGTTCAGGACCACAATTTAGTTCAGCTAGACTAGCACTAGACAATTAGACCACCAGCCTAAAAACAGTCATTTATAACTCCAGTTGACTCAATATTTAGACTATAGAGAAAAGCAAGATGAAATGTTCAAAAACATTTCTGGTGTGGCGGATATCATTTGTACTGGATAAGGGGGCATCTGTTTGTTAGTAATTGTTTTTTTTCCTTACCTATCAACCTCATTTTTTAACTTGTATATCAACATTCAACATCTTACATGTCGATTTTTTTTTTGGGTTGAAACAACTCAAGTTACTTTTCTGAAGAATTGGTACTTTATTGTAGATCATGCTAATAAAAAAATTATAACATTTTTGGTAAAAGAAAATATAGCCTAGATAAGCATAAAAATAAATCTAGATTAATGTAGTAAATGAAAAACAAAGAAATTTAAAAGTCACACTCAATTTGTACTAAAATTTGCAGTTTTTTTTAACATTGTGCGTGTGTAAGGATGTTTGTTACACAAGATTAATTGACTAAGGCGCAGGGATTTGTGGCTAAAGCGCAGGGGGCAGTGGGAAACTGCACAAGAAAGAAAAGTTGCCTGAGAGTAAAGGAGCTCATTGGTGTGGGAGAACGGAGAAGAGGACCACACCTCCGACTCCTCCCCATCTAGCTAGTGTCATATTTTATCTCTTAGTCCTGCCGACACATGGCTCACTGGTTCAAAGTGCAATACATTGGTACCAATACCTAGCCATAAGTGAAAATTATTGGTTAGGGGTAGCCCAAAATGAAACTTTGGTAAATATGCCTATCCTTACATACAATTCACTCTTAGAACTTCTGAATTATTACTCTTTCCTTAGCCATCCACATGCATTCGTAGATTTTCTGATTCTTCTTTTGATATTTAAAAAGGCTACAAACATTTGCATCATTTTCCTAATCTTTAGTTATTCAGCCTTGCTTTTGAATTTTTTAAGAGTACCCTTTTTCTCAGATGGTTATGGTGTATTGGCATAAAAAGAATGTCCAGGACATATCATGAAGATTATCCATATTCAGCCGAAAACTAGAAAATACATGTGTGGAACTCAGAATAATAGCACTTCTCATAGCCTAACTGAAAGAAGGGTAGAAAGATATGTCATCAATCACCGCACGGTCGTTTGGTGTCACTGAAAAAAGATAGTTGACATTATTGGTATGTACTTAGGCCTAAAGGGAACAATAATTCTAAGATTACATCATCTTATTAACCACATATAGCACACTGATTTTAAACAATTTGGATTGTGAATAAAAAACTCCTACGTGTGAAGAAGCAGCAGTAAAGTGGGGAAACAATTAGCATGTACCTGAAACCCTAAGAAAGTTAAGACATCAAAGTCATATGCAATATTGCAGCATTATATAATGAATGGATGGTGAGCGGCGCTGCCAATGTACCAGTTCGAGAATAAGCTAACCCTGTGATACATCCGATGACAAACAACTGGAATGAATTATTTATGGAGAAGTGTGCTATGCTGAACATGAGTGAACTGACAATTACGGCATCCTTCCATTTCATTGAGGATGACAGGGCTGTTAGGAGGAATCCACGGTAAATGGTTTCTTCTGACAATGGAGCAATCACACAGTATAGGAAAACACACAATAGCCTAGAGGTTGGACTGTCAGAAAGTATTTCCCTTAACATAGGATCATATGTATCCTGCAGTAGAATCGAAACAAAGAATTAGCACCTTACTAATTGAAATATAAAAGTATGGTATTGTAATTGAGCAAGCCTGATAATAGGCCTGACGTGGAACTTCTTGAATTGCATCTGACCTCAAGACCTATCAATCTGTCAGCTACTACGGTTGTGAGTGAAACCACGGTCATCAGAAATATCAAACCTAGCACAGTTTCTTTTACCCAGCTGTGTTGTGGATAAAGCTTCCCTTGAAAGAAGGCCCAAAGTTTATGATCCTTTTTCGTGGAGTACTGCAATAGTGCTAAAGCCAAAGTAAGCTCTGTCAATTGAAGAACGACCGTGGAAGAAACCTAAAATGAACTAAGCAGTTAAAATAATGTATATTAAGATGAATCAATCAAAACGAAGTACTAAAAAATCGATACCACTTACTGTGGTGAGTGGATCAAGTGAAGGGCAATGTAGCAGTTCGGCCACTACACCAAGCCCTCCAAAGCTGAAAGGGATATGAAAGATAAAGAAATAAGCTGCAAATGTTCTCCATATATCCTCGACCTCCCAAGGAATATTTGGAGAGAGCACCGAAAACTCCTGAAATATCATCACAATGCATCATTTTACAATGATTTCTAGTTTAGAATCACAACTGCAATTTCACATCATAATTAATTGCAGATATCATAGCCTGGAGACCAAATTGAAGTTGTCAACCTTATAGAGGAAACTGGGCAACCAACCAGGCATCGGGACGTGTCAATCATACTAGACCAACAGAATCACGAATTTCACTCCAAGATCATTTCAAACCACAAGTATATCTCTACCATCCTATTTTTAGATGTTCATAGAGAAATTCTTCTAATGCGGTAAAAGCACCTCAAGGAGATGTCAAGAACTACCAAACATGATACGCCGGTAAGCAAGCAAAAAAGTCGATCATGCAACTACCCGAGGGAGGCATTACATCGAACAGTTGGCGGGCACCGTCCTCGTCGCCACCGGGGGAGGGAGAGGGAGAGCATGAGCAGCCGAGAAAGCGACGACGCAGGAGCGGGAGCGTGGTCGGAGCCCCGAGCTCCGCCGCCCAGATACGAGGAGGAGCCCCGCCGCCGCAGCCTCCGGGCCTGCAGTGGGGAAGGCGACGCGACGGGGCGTGAGCTGCCGCTGCCCCGGCGGCCAAGAGCATCTCGCAACTGAAGTGGCGCGCGCGCGTGAACCGCTCGTCTCTGAAGTCTAATCCTTCATGTCGCTGCTGCCAAAGGTGGGTCTTTTTTATAATAAAAAAAATCAATTTAGGCTATATTTTGTTAGCGATGTTTTAGTTTAGACCATCGAATTCTTTTCTCAAGCATATAAATAATCTCAAATATGTTGGCTTATAATCGACAATGAACTTTTATAGCTATATGTAATATCATTTCTTCTACGTATGACAAATAGGGTGTAGATGTATAAAAGAGTTGAGGAGTGGTCTAAGGCCCCGTTTGCTAGGGCTCCAAACTCCAACTCCAGTGAGAGCTAGCTCCTATTGGAGTTGAAGACTCGTTAAAAAGTGTTTGGCAAGTTTCAGCTCTAAATCTGAAAAAAAAGAAAAAAATGAAAAAAGAAAACCCAGCCGCCGGCCGCGCGTTGCCAGCCCGCCGGCCGTTCGCCGTCCCCAGGCGCTCCGCCGGCCGCCAGCCGCCATCATCCCCAGGCACGCTGCGCGCCGCCGGCCGTTCACCGCCCCCGCAGCTAGGTTGGATCGGGAGGAAGATGGGGGATGAGAAAGAACGGTAGGAGAGGAGGAGTGAAGGGTAGTTGAGTGGAATTTTTGTGTAAATAGACCAAAAAATTAAAGGGTAGTGGGTTTTTTGGGGTGGAGTAGAGTTGTAGAGCAGCAAAAACCCAGCTCCACCCACGTAGTTCATTTTCTAGGAGTAGCTCTGCTACCTCCACTTCAAAAAAGGGAGGATCTGGACCGTTTGTCATAGTTTCGGCTCCAGGTAAGTTGGAGTTGGGAGCTAGAGCTGTGCCAAACGGGGCCTAAAGTGCCACAAAGGTTAAAAATAAGATAAAAAAAACATTGGTTAAAGGGTGATTCGAAGCAAAACATCAATAATAAAAGATGATTCAAAGTGAAATTTACTCTTTTTCAGTGGAGCAAAAGGTGGTTATTTGGTTGGCTACTTGGCTCATTTGGTTTGAGGCAATATTTCTCATATTTGACACTTAAGAAATTTCATTGGAAAATGGCTACACTCGGTACGTTTGGCAGAGTACTAACGAGAAAAATAACAGATAGATAATTGTCAAGAGACACTTAGTCCTGGACAAATCGGGGATAAGCAGGAAAATATTTTTTCCCACCTATCCTAAGAATGAGATGGGTTTGAAATGTAAAGTCTAATATTTTGATATGAATAATGTGGATTTGCTGAAGACCTGAAGTTGATTCTAAGACATGTTGTCTGTGCATACTCCCTCTGTCCCCAAAAATAGTGATTCCTGGATGCCCGAGGTAATTTTAGCTACCATTATCAAAGACCAAAATACCCTTGTATAAGTACAACATCCATTCCATCATTCAAATAAAAAAACAAACTTCCGTGCACAAGTACTACTCTCGTGCAGAGTGCGTGTGTGAATGAGAGAGGGAGTAGACGAGAGAAACGAGAGAGAGAGGAGAGAAGTTTGCGTGAACAAGTGGGTAGACTGCTATCCTGGTTGCTCTGCTGTGACTGTACTGCTATCTCATTTAATGCATCACAGATCGCTTTTTTCTATGACAAATGCTCCTCTTCAGAAATTGATTCTTTTTAGGACAAAGGAACTAGATATTTAGGAGCGATACGAGGCTGAAAAGTTGTCTTGCACATGTTGTGGCATTACTAATATATATACTTGATTGAATTATGAACAATTCTTTATAAGGATTATTAAATAATATATATTTTAAAATTTAGAAATAGCTTCAAACAAGCCATCTATGCAATATCGGTGTAGAAATTTACAGATAGTATTGGTACTAGGGGCGGCGTCTAGGGATAGTTTGGGAACCAACCATAAGTCATAAGCTGAAAATAACATGTTATCCACTCATGGAGCATCCCACCAATCTAGAGGTGGTGGTAGGATAATATACTCATCACCACCAAGGGGGTGTTTAGATTCAGGGGTGTAAAGTTTTGACGTGTCACATCGGGTATTATATAGAGCGTCGCATGGGTGTTCGGGCAGTAATAAAAAAACTAATTACAAAATTCGTCAATAAACCACAAGACGAATTTATTAAGCCTAATTAATCCGTCATTAGCAAATGTTTACTGTAGCACCACATTGTCAAATCATGGAGCAATTAGCCTTAAAAGATTCGTCTCACAAATTAGTCGCAATCTGTGCAATTAGTTATTATTTTAGCCTATATTTAATACTTCATACAGATGTTCAAATGTTCGATGTGATAGGGTGAAAATTTTTGCGGTGGGATCTAAACAGGGCCCAAGTTCTTTCATACAGTAAAGATTGAAATATAAGTAAGAACACATCCATTTTCTTTGGGATGCTGAAAGCCTGAACTTACCAGCCATGTTTCTATCTCTTTTCAGACCTTTTCTTGGTGTTAACATCGTAAACAGAAAGGAACAGCTTTTAAAGTCTACTTCGTTATTAACCAGAGGTTTTGGAATCCGGTTACAGCAACAAAAATTCGGGTTCCACCAAAATGGACGAATTTTGGAAATTTTGGCTGAAATTTGAACCAAATGTGACAAATTTGACCAAAACCAAACCAATTTCAGATGAAATGGGAGTGAAATGGTGTCTCGAACCTCACAGAAATGGGCGAAATTCGCCCAAATTCGGACCTTTCAGTCCAAATCCCAGAACCGTTAAGAAAACAGGAAAGTTCACCGCAATAAACATACTCAAGACATTTACCACAAAGGGACAATCTGTTCTCCCACAAGGTACCGCATCAATCCATCACACAAATTAACAAACATCACAGGCAAATTATCTCCTTTCAAATCTACTACAGATGCCAAGTGCATCTTATTAAGTTTTCCCAGCTAATTTGTTTTAGAAGTAATTTCTCCCAGCTAATTAAGCAGATATGAGTTGCATCTCCACTTCATCCTGTAATTTCTTGCAGCTTTCCTAGGGGACAGAAGATCCTGCAATATTTGTGATGCTTTGTCTGAAGAACTCTTCAACTTCTGCGGCATCCTCAGGAAGTGGCATCTCATCCATCAGCAGCTTGACAGCAAATGTGATACACATGTCCCATTCGGACGGCTCTCCGTATATCGATGCTAGGGCTGCTTCTGCACCTGAAACACCTGAAACAAGAAAATTTTTACCAGGACTGTTTTGATCCAGAGCTGAAGTTGTTCAGTGTAAAGCTTACCATTGTCTGCTTTGTTCTCCATAGGATTGGTGGCACCAGTGGCATGCTGATCAAGAGCACTGGCAGCTGCACCATTGCTGTCCTTGAGGCCAGCTCCAGCATCATCAGCTATCAAGGCATCCTCCTGCTTAAATGCATCTGCACCTGAAAGTTTCTTGTCCATTGGAGTATTGAGAGTTGGCACACCGTCCTTCTGGTTTGTATTTTCACTAGTGCTGTTCTTCACCTCAGCTGAGGTATCAATCACTCGGACACCAGTCTTCTCAGTAACATCGTTACCGGTGCCGGTTTTCGCCTCTCCCTTGGAAGCTGTCTTCTTCCTCTTCCTTGAATAAACAGCCTGTTCATTACCATTCCTGTTCTTCCCAGTTTCAAATTTCTGGAGCTCATCCTGTGATGTCCACAATGCAGGCTCTTTTACCCTGTGGCGCGCCGAACGTTTACCGCGTGTTTTTGGGTCTATGCGTTCAGTGATCTCTGTTTTTATTTCTAGAAGTTTGTATTTAGTATCTTCACCATTGTTGTCCTTTAATTTAGGTGCCGTTTCAGATGCACTGCTTGACATGCTGTCTCTTTCAGTTGATTTCATCATCTTTGAGCCAACACTCCGATCATTCACATATTTTCTTATATTCCTTACAGAGTTCAGAAGCCCCTGAAGTGGTGCCCAAGGTGTATGATTCCTTCCCCTTGGGCGGTCCGAACGCTTTCCATGAATCTTGGGAAGCATAGGTTCAGAATCTCCTGATGATCCTGACAAAAAGTAAACTACATTCAATTCATTGACATTGAAACAGGGTTGTTGAGATATGCATCCAAATTACAAATTACTAATATCAAGGGGGGAAGTAAATACAACAGTACTGACAGAATTCAACTGATTTTTAACATGAATTCATTGCCCTTCTGCTTGGTAAACTAAGATAAACTGTTACTTTCAAAGGGGGAAGAGGTGCAGGCAAATGAATGACATATGAAAAGATTTCCCTTTTGGCATGATCTTCCTTTTGAGAAATTATTTCCCTCTAGTGTTTCTTCTGGTTATTCCTAAAACATAAATTAGATAGCTTTTCAGCACAATACCAAAGTAAATTAGAGTGGATAACTCATTAAAAAATACCTTAAAAACAAGAATGAACTAGTAGTGAAGAATATAGAAATGCAAGACACTGATCATCCAATAGAATTTCAAGGAATGGAAAGATGGATTAACACGCATCCAAAACTTTTCTATATATGAATTTCTTATTATGTTGTTTTAAATCTATTTTCTAACTTCATAATATTTAATCCGTTAGCTTGTACCCTCAAATAATCATCACAAATCATTCAGTTATTCAGCCATTCAGCACAGAAGAACAGGAGAATGCACAGCTTGGTATTTAGCACTATGAAATATATTGATTAATAATCAATAGTTTTAGTTGGAGATAACTGCTATTTAACAACCTATGTAAGGCATATTCTATTTGGCAGAAATTTTTCACGTTTTCCTACTGGAATTAAACTGTTTCTTGTAAAGTTCATGTATTCCAAAGGAAGCTTAAGTGATGGCTTTCATGTTTTGTCTTGATTATTGGAAGAACCATTATCATAAGTTTGTAAACAGCACAGGGATACACATTGTAGAAAGCCTGTGCACTGTTTTACTGCTGATTTCATGTTCAATAATAATCTACTGTTTAGGAGAAGGATATTTACAGTTTGCTGAATAATATACATTAAAAATGAAGTTTGTGTCTTCATCATTTTTCAATAAATACCTAATGCAATGATATGATTTACTCATACCATAGTCCAAAACAAATGAGAAAAGTTTTGGATGCGTGTTAATCCATCTTTCCATTCATCCAGGCAAAAACCTATAAAATCTCATTTGTTTTGATTGATTTTTAGTGGATTCATTATGTCCAGATAGATTAAAACAAAACAAGGTACAGGTTTCATATTGTCAGGATTGAAGCTAATTAAGCACCCCTATCGATGTAGTTGGACCATGGGTACGTAATCCTCAACCCCCATCCCTACCCTCATGAGAAAAACCATCATTCATTAGGTGATGTATATATATAGTTTTTCTTTCTCGAACACACTGAAGATCTGCGTATCATTTTATTAATAAGAAGAAGAAGATATACACAGGGAGGGAAATCCGAAAAATCCCCACCCTAAACATTAACACAAGTTACAAAAAACTCAAAAACAGGTAAACAAGACCATTTAACCCGCAAGGGCCATCGACCTAGCCAAGACCTCTCAGAGCTTTGAAGTTCTAGCTAAGCACCAAACTGTGCCTTCATATGCTACTGATTGAAGCACCATTGACACCCTCAGAATTGAGCCACTAAAAACACAATCATTCTGTGATTCCAAATTTCCCAATAAGCCACCAAAATTATAGGCGGGTTTAGCCATTTCTTCCTTTCTTTGTTGGTGTCATTCACTGCCCTAGACCACCAGCTTGAGAAACGATGTGTGTCAGGGGTCGGGGTGAGGCCAAGATATTTATAGTTTGAAGTTAGCTTTTGGGGTAGAGGAAAGTATGGGATGGGCCAGAATTACCTCTTATGGGGCCATGCCAAACCAAGTGGTGATTTTTGCATGCTAGGACAACTAGCCAAGTCCATCACACCAAACTATGTGGTGTAGCAACTAGTCGTGTTAGCCTACTTGGCAAGGATGGAAGGCAAATTCGCCAATCAAGTAGGCAGCTAGAATCATGAGGCCAGTTAGGCTGACATTATTTTCCTGCAGAACTCCACCAATTTTTCTTTTCCCTATAGTTAAGGCCACAAGTACGGAAATACCTAACCATGCCCTTAAAAATCCAGGATCTAGTATATTTTAGTTTAGTTATGGGGTTGCAACTTGTAATTTACTATGCCACATTCCTTTCTAAATTACATATGGAACATAGGTCTCATCTATTTCATCAACTTACGGAAAGAAAATCTAAATGAGTATACCAATTAATCCACTAACTATGACTTAAGCTATCGGACGAACAGAATTCTACTACAAATCAGTTTACCTTATGTCGTAATCACCCTTTATAATAACTAGCTACTTACACAGATTGAGAAGGAGAGTGATATGAAGAAATCTCTCTTACCAACTAGATCTGCGTGCATGTAGATGGAGATGTTGTCGAGGATATCGTAGAAACACAAGCGAAGATTCAAGAATATGTTTGACGAACCTAGAGATCTTCTCTTGAATTTTATCCCCTCAAAGACCAAGAAAGGAAGAGGAAAATACTAGAACTTGCTTGGGATTCCTCAATAGTAGCAAGGAGAAGGTTTAAATAAAATGTATATGGGGAATGGACTATTTGCTAGAATAAGGGTGAGGATCCCCTCGCTTCGTAGGTGAGAACTATTTATTGCGTAGAGATATGTCTATTCCCTTTCTATTTCTAAAATTAAATGACAAATATGGTTACATCTACACGCTCCCCTTGAGACCTCTAACGGGCATGCGAGTTGCTCTTAAGGAATTGCGTCATCCATCTATAAAGTGATAAAGGTTCAATATAGTATGAGTTGGTGTTGTCGCTATCTGTGGTATGTACCAGGTGTTTGGTCTTCTGCTTAGTCACTCTGCACATGTGTATACCCAAGTGACTTGAAGTGTTTATCTTCAGTTCCGTGTTGGGTATTGTTATGATAAATCTCGACTACTTTTCCTTCATGAATCGGACTCTTTATGATGGTGAAACACCTCTCTATTTCTCTTTTTTTGAGTGGGGAAAAATCCCCATATTGTAGTAGCATTGAGTTCTCTCGCTCTCTTCTAGCTTATTAATACATCTCCCACACTATAGTAGGATTGAATTTCGCTCACCCTCTCCCAACATATTATTTTTACTGGTTAATTTCATCATGTATGTGTATAGAAAGTGGAATGGTTGAAACAATGTTGATCTGGACTTGTTTAGATCAAAACAACACTTCTTTTTGGATGGTTTTCCACAACCTTTTGAAGATAAGTTTAGAATGTGGTCCCCACATTATGGCCAGTGAGCAGCCAGCCAGCAAAACACCTTATATTGTGCTATCAAATGATACTGTTACCAGGATGTTCTGTAGTAACAGATTTCACCGGCGAACAGCGTGCAATATATTCCAAATGTTCCAGCTATAGCTTTCTCTTTTCTTTTCTTTTCTTTTCTTTTCTTTTCTTACTATATATATAGCTTCTTCTTTTTTCTTTTTCTTTTTTTTTTTTGCGGCGAGGAGTTCCAGCTATAGCTTTCATGGCAAAACAAAGAGGCTGTGCTAGCTGCCAATTGCCAAAAACAGTAGAAACAAATTAATGGCAACAGCAGGACGCCAGGAAGAACGTAGCAACAGCTGAATTGATTTATTAGCCAGCTCAATCCAAACGGCATTATTCACAAACTCGATATCAAAGTAGAGTTGACTAATTTGGAATGGTACTTACTAATGAGAGATGACATCGAAGATTTGTTGGAACTCATTAAAATCTCATCAACTAATATAGCAACCAAGGTATGTCTTGGAAATGCACATACTTGACGGTTCTTGGTATTTTTCTCATGGTACATACAATAAGCGAATGCAGCTTCATGAAGGTAAAGGGATCGGTTCACCTCTGGCTATTTGCATGCCAAATTTTCAAGCTTCTAAAAGCCCCGGTCGGAAGCTACAGAACCAGATAGATATCTGCGATCACGGAGGCAAGACAACATTCTGGCACAAGATGAGATCTGATAGAGTTTTCCCGTGCCGATCAATCCTTCTCGAAGAATTCACACCGCCATCGAGGATATTCCTCACGACAACGTTCAGGGAGCTGATTCCTGGGACATCATAAATCTCAATACTTACATTCTCGAGCGGATCATACCGAACCTGATTTGCTCGATCAGCGGGAAACAAGGAGGAATCAAGAAGGGGTGAAACAGCATTCTTGACCCAATCTCGAGTGATCACTGCCCTCAGCCGACCAATGTCATCAGGGAAATGCGGAATGATGGAGAAATTCAAATCATTCCCTTTATCACCGGCCCTGCTGTGAGCTACGTGGTATAGAGGAATCTTTGTTCCAGATGGAGAAGGAACAGCAGATGGCAGTGTGTCCATGTTTGTGTTCAAGGGAAGAGTGCCCATTGCACACCTTCTTGGGCACTTGTGTTGTTGTTGATCACACATTTGACCCTTGTCAGCATTCGTAGCCTGATTCTGTGGAGAAGGAATACTTGATTTCTTCATATTTACTTGCCAAAAGATCTTCTCCCGATCAACCTGTACAAAATACAAATCTCAGTGTCATCCGTAGAAATCTATGTGTTATAATCTCTAAATGTTTTCTCTGGTAGAACCCAAAAATATGAACATTTGTAATCTCTCCTGGAATGAAGTACAGTGATTATCCATACCAGTATTTTCTGCAGAGTTATTTCCTTCTTCTGCCCAGTGCTGTAAATCATGAAACAAACATGTCAGATGGTTTTGCAAGTTCAGAAACAAGAGAAAATTGCAGACACCTTCTCCATTAAAAGTGCAAATACAGTAGTTTTCATGAGCTCTCACATGATTAGCTTTAGTATAGCGGTATAGCTCATCCATCTGAGCGGTGCATAATTCTGTGCATGAACTTATGCTATTCTCAACTACAAGGCAGCATCTAGATCTGAGCATTGTTGATAAAAGCAAAGAATACTTGTAAATACCTTATGCCGCCACCACCAGCCGGCCCATTTGTATAAAGTGCAATGAACTCTTCAACAAATTTGATAGCATGTTCTTCCAGCTCAAATAGCCCATCCATCCGGAACCTGACATCCATCACTTGTTTGACAGAACTGTCTTTGTTATCTCCAATGGCTTTCAAACTATCATATCCTATTATGTATGAGATAATTTTTCCTTCAATGCCAGGATATGTTTCATCCATCCATGACCTAACCTAATTCCAGAAGAAAAGATGCAAGTGGTTAAACTGCCTTTGTGTTATCACTTGTAGTGTAAAACATATATTTCAATTCTTAACACATCAGGGGTTATTTGAAGAAAATATGGGAAGTACTTTCATGGACTTACGAGGTATTCTGCTGCATGAGCTCGCTTCAAACATTCTTGGCCACCGTATGATATCTCTCCCCAGCCTTTCCATCCGCTCTCCTATATAAAATATGTGGATTAAGTGACCCACTTGACAAACTATCTGTAGCTGATGTTAAAAAGTACTATTTATCCAAGCCATTTCGGAAACACTATTGTTTACTTCAAATATAAAAAGACCATAATCAAATTTCAGCTATACGACAACTAATTCAAATACTACGCAAACCTCAAGGCAGTGCATTTATGGAGTTTAAATATTATGTCACATGTCAATACTATGTGTTCAGATGCTAAGTTGAACAAAAAGTTAAATGAAAAAATTCAAATAACTGACAATTAAAGTAAAACATACAGTAGGAAGCAATTGGAGGAGTTTCTCGGGCCAGCAAGGATTGGATGGTTTTGCTCCTTTGCACTGGACCTTGTCTTTTGATATTTGCTGGAACTTCACATCACGGAAATCTACAACCTGATCCAAGAAAATATTATAACTGTTCAGAAAAGAAGCTACCTAGAACTGAAACCGGCATTTGGTCTCACCAGATCAGGAGTAATATAGTTTGCAGGATCTCCAACTTCGTACAGAAGCTGTTCTGCACATGTGCTGTAGCTTAGAAGACCTCCGCTGCCCTCTGCCTTTCCAACAAACACTTCTCCTTTGTAACTGACTTCGGCATATGGAAGAGACAAATCCAGAAGCTGTTCAAAAGAAAAATCTCGATATGCATCTCCTGCTCTTTACCACAAGTAGAGCATAAAATGAACATGAATCATAACTGTAGTGAAAAATCATCATCCTAGTGATTTTGAAAGAAGAACTGTACCAGGGTGCATGAAATACCCTCCAGTGAGTTGGCATCCACATTCCAAAAGATGGCTAGCCAATGTCCCTTGTGACAACTCCTCAAAGTCATTCCAATTCCAACCTAATTCATATACCTTATGTTGAAAGGGAGAGAGGAAAGGATTAACTAAACAAATATGGTATTGGAGAAAATCAGCCTTAATTGCATTACTACTTTGCATAATCTAAAGAAAATGAGCATAACAAAAAGCTGAGTAGCTGACAAAATGACAGGGTCAGCTTTTATATATCAAGGAAACCAGAAGAATCTCCAAACTTATGCATCATGTTTAATTTGAGCCAGTTACCATAAAACATATGTCAAATCTTTGTGTATTTATCCGCAGGATAGACATGCTAATAACTGAGCTTTCGAGATTTCCTAATCACATATTTTCTTTTACATGCATGTTGCAAAACAATTCAGAACACCCTGTTCCTGAAGCAATATCCACTTTAACATTTACATTGGCACAAAGAGAGTTAAAATAGTCATTATATTGTTTGCGAACATAAGAACAACTGAACAAGCTATTCAAAGCATACCATAGGTGCTAAGAACAGCGCAGCATCAGCAACCCGAGAAGTAATAACAACTTGTGGTTTGCCATTTTCTAGGCAGTGTACAATTGAGGCCACACCAAGATATGTGCTTCCGCCCTTCACATACAACAAAACTACCATCAAATAGATAACCAAAATAGGAAATTTTGGTTGAACATAAGCACATTTGAGTGAAAAATGGTTAAAACAACACCTGTATCAAAATAAGGCAAGAGAAATATATGTTAATAATCAAAACTAGGGCATAGCATCTCCTGATGAGTAAATTTCTATTTGATTAAGTTTATCTACATCTCCCAGTAATAATCAAAAGTCCACCTCATGTGACCAAAGTTTTCTATGGCTGAACCACATGGCACGTACATTAAAAATAGGTAACTCGCATAATGTAACTTCAAAATTTTGGATGCTACTGAATACTGATCAATTGTGGGTAATTGTCGTATGTTTAAAAAGCATTAAGGTTGTTAGAAGGAAATGGACTAACATGATGTCAAAACGTGTCAGAGAAATCAAAATAGATTACCTGTCGCACCCCAGTTGATTCATTAGAAAATACAGAATTTCCTGAAAAAAGAGCCAAACTAAGCTTGAATCCAGCTTGAACGACTGAATCATGTAACCCATGCTAGGCCTTACTAGCACAAGAAGAAACCAAAAGTACCTGAAGATGTTTCATAAGCTACAGCGACTGTTATTTCCAATCCCAAATTAGATGCCAGCTCCAGAACTTCTTCTTGAGCTCCAAGTGGATCCACTGATAAATTCCAAAGGCACATACATTATCTAAACAAGCAAAAGAACAAATTAGGCAATACCAAACTATAGTTTGCAATGTCTTACCAGCGCCCATGTTAGTTATTATGCAAACTCCTCTATCCAAGGCTAAGGGTAGAAGCACAGACAGCCACTCCTTAACTGCATGTGACCATATTAAGAAAAGGTGCACTAAAAAAGAAATCTTATCTAAAATACTAAACACAACACAGTAAAATAAATTTCTAGTCTTCTCCTCCAGAGAAAAATACACAAATAAGCTATACAGTACAAAAATCACATAAGCTTCTCTATGATTTGGGGCAAAGTACTCTCCACAATCTCAAAAACAGAGAAAACAGATACTGCATACTTTTAGAATTGAAAAGTGTATACCTCGGGGATCATATCCTTTTCCTCCCGACATCATGATTTGGTAGCGATCCACGAGAGTTCGCTCGGCCAAACACTCGAGCACAAGGTAGTTAAGTTCCTTGACTCTCTCCAGCAACTTGAGAGCAGCCATGGGCCGGTCACCCCCAAATCCAGCACCACAGCCAACATAAACGGTGTCCCTGCACCGCTGAGGATTGCTCCTCTATCAACCAATAGCAGTATCAGCCGAACTGAACCATCCATTTCACTAACTCGCATAATTAACATTTAACAGATTTTTTTTCAAATTATATAGCAAGCACTAACCAACTGGACCACACAGTCATGAAGTTCTTCCATTGTTACTGATGCATCCCACGGCAAATTATTCCTCAGTGAACCAGGAGCGGAACTAACAGATTGCTCTTAATCAGAGAAAAATCCGGAAGAAGCTGGATGAGAAATCAGTCCATGTAAAGGATGGAATTCTCAAATCTATGCCACGCCGAGACATGAAGTGGCGTGGAGTGGGGAGTAGGAATACGAGAGAGGAGTGGATATATACCTCCGATTCGATTCGAGGACCGCGATGGGGGGGCCGGCCGCGCGCGTCGCTGCTCCAGACCTGCTCGCCGGCGGCCGTGCTCGCGAGAGAGGAGGCAAGGGGGCGGGGCCGTCGCCGGCGGGGAGCGCGCGGAGGCGAGACGACGCTGGAGGAGGGGGGAAAAGCTGCACGTGCGTGCCTCTCCTCCGGCACGGCTATGCTGATCGGAGTTCGGAGATGGTTGGAGGCAAGGGCATTTTTGACATTTACTATTTTTAAGTCTATTTTTTAAAATATTAAAATGTACGAAACCATTTAATTTCACGTAACATTTTACACGTTCAATCTTATTAAAAATTTAGTTTAAATATGTAAAAATATAAGCTAATTTTATATTTTCTTTTTATGATAAAACAAGTAAAAATAAATAATATTTATGTTTATACTTTTAATAAAATAAACGGTTAAGCGCCGGGTTAAAAATCAGTAGTGTTGTATATTAAAAATAGGAGGGGGTAATATTGAAATGTTATAAAGGGAAGATTTTAGTCATATGGTCCGTGATAATTTAAATGCTAAGGGCAAAAACAACATAAATTTCTCAATTAGTAAATAAGGATTTACTCGTGAAGTTATGTTGAAAGAGTATGAACGAGAGAGATTTTGGGAGAGAGTACGAGGAAGGAAATAAAAATAAAAGAATTACCTATTAATCTATTTGACATTTGGCGGAAACACACAATTTTTTTTTATAAATTTGAATCGTTTTAAGATTTATACAGTACCACAATCTTAATTTCTATCTCCTCCCTCCTAACTCTCACAGTCCCACATGCTGCCACTTCTCCACCTCCGCTTCCTCACTAGGTCATTGTGTGTGGCCTCGCTAGTGTTAGCAAAGCTTATGTGTGGCTTCGCTAGTGTTAGCAAAGCCCATCATACATTCTCTCCCTCGTCCCCGCCTATCCTCCTTAACCCGGTGGTGTATTCCTGTTGTCTTCCTCATCTTTGACGGCTCCCCTCGCTTGTTGCATCGTCACTGTCTCTACCTGCTAACCACTCACTCTATTTTATCCCTATCATCAATACCGACCCACTATAACACCACTCGCAGTCGACTCTTTGGCTTAATCATCGCCGCCGTCTCACCGCCCACTACGAGGCTACCGCCACTCACCGCTATCTCTTTAAATCCGAGTAACTTTCTCTGTCTCCGCCTATACCTCATCCCTGATAGCCAACCGGTCGGGGTCGCAGTCGTTGAAAATCAACGAGCTTGCCAGAGTGGAAAGAACGATGTAATGTGCACGAATCTCGGAGTGTCTAGGGTCGAAAATCTGCCGAATCGGGCTTAAATTCAAAAGAAAAAGATAAAAAAAAGAAGAAGAAGAAGAAGAAGAAGAAGAGAGAAAATGGCGATTACCCCCGTCGATTCCCCCTCCCCTCCATCTCCGATCAGCAGAGCCAACCTGCACTTCTCCCGCCTCCTCGCGCTCCCGGCCGGTGACGGCGAGCTGGCTCTCGGTGTTAACACGGCGACCCCCCACCCTAGCATCCTCCTGTGTGTGCGGCCTCCTTGCGAGCAGGTCTGGAGCGGCGGCGCGCGCGGCCGGCCCCCCATCTCGGTCCTCGAATCGAATCGGAGGTATCCATTCCTCTCTCATGTGATGGCTTGGCATTGGTGGGGATTTTGTGCTCTGCTGATGCTAATTGGTAGTAGTAATTTGGTACTGCGCACTGAACTACTGATGATGATGTTGGAAAACCATGACGGCAGTTTTATCACTGAATTGAACTAGTAGTGTGTGGCAACTTCTGCCAATCTACCTGGAATGTGAAGTTTCTGCAGATAACTAATAACTTCGCTTCTGCCAAATTTCTTACCCTCACATTGATTATATTTGTTTGCTTAATTGTAGATAGTACTTCAGTTTGGAAAAATGTCAGGAGATTAAAATTGGTGGAAGCCACTTGGCGCAAGTGCTACTCTTCACTCTTCAGTCACTGAATAATGAAGTATCCCTGTACAATGAAAAGGTATTTCTGGCATTTTATGATGAGAGGATAATCACCTTTTTTCAGGAATAAGTAAAAGATTTGGGCATCATTGCATCAAGCCGAACAAAAAGGTTTATAAAACATCAAACACATCCTGTGTGTTGAGCACAATGGTCAAACGACTGGAACAAAGGAAAAAAAAACCGACAATTCGACCTAAGCTACTGACAGAAACTAAGGAATCAGACTACTAAATGAGGCAAGCTCTTACTGTGCGACCCACTAATTCGCTTCTTCTGCAATTGACGCAATGATCCAAGAACAAGCACTTTTGCAGAAGTGGAGGTGAGACATCTTTGCAGGGGTTGGCCTGTTGACAGGAAGCCTATTGAGTTTACAAAATGGTGGCATGGTGTAATGTTGTAATATTTTGCTACTCACTTCAGTTTGCAGTTAATGAGTTTTGGAGTAATCATAGCATTAGCCAAATGTTTTCTGACATAGCAAAGGTCTCCAAGGTCTCAGGCTCTCAGCTTACCATGGCAGACCTGGTCTTACTGATTGTGCACTATTTCCTCATAGATATTCCCCTTCTAGCAGTAATAGCATAATTCCCTTCTTTCTGTGGAATTTCGTATGTTCAAATTATTTCAATATTGCCTCAGTTTTATACTTTGCTGGTGTTAATTGCTACTGAACTACTGATAATATTGGAAAACCTGGCCTTATATGGAATTACTGAAGTACCTTCCCTTCGATCTCAGTTTACCATGGGAGACCTGGCCTTACTAGATTGTGTACTAGTTTCTGGTCATAGATGTTCCCCTTTTATGGGCAGTACCTTATTAATAATCCCTTTTCTTTCCTTTTGACACTGACAGTCTTTAAATTACTTCAATACTAACGAATTTGCTAGTGCTAATTGGTACTGACAATGTTGGAAAACCGCAGCAGTAATTGGTGTGGCATGTTCTGCCTGAGATGTTCAGTTAATAACGTTGTTCCAGTCTACTTTGTTACACTCAGATTGCCTTTTTGTTTGTTTTACTTTAGGTAGTACTTCAGTTTGCAAAAGACGATGATATTGGATTTGGTGGAAGTCACTCGGCACAAGTGCTGCTGTCAAGAGACAGGAAGCTGACCCCTGTACAATGTAAAGTCATTGCTGCCATGCACAGGAATCCTGTGCATATATGATCCAAGATGCAACACTTTCGCACAAGCGGAGATCAGGATTCAGGAGATAAGTTCAGCTTACTGAAGACCTGCTGAGTTCAGCTTGAAGTTGACAAGTTTTGCAGAAATAGCTGACTCTTTTTTCACATTGGAGCCTGTGAAACTGTTGTAAATTCTTGATGACGCTAGATCTTTTTGTTTTGTATATTCTTCAGTAAATGTAAATATAATGTAAGATGCACTTTTAAGTACGAATCCTGATATAAGGGGCACAGCAGCTCTGTTTTGCAGCTGCTAGTATGGTGGTCATGTAAATCGATGCAAGAAAAGCACCAGGGTGTCAGTGGCACTCGTGCTATAGTTGACATTTGCAGTTTAATAAAAAGATGAAATGATTGTTCTATATTCTCAGTCATACCATATGTCATCCATTGAGGTTAAAAAAACTTTTGTGATGGATGATTGTGAGCCTTTTGTTGCATGTGATCACTTCAGTCAATAATTCAGTAACAATGGTGCATGCTTATAACCATTGCTCATGGTGAATCTGAAACTGCTGTTTTTGGAGCCTGTTGTCAATTCTTGCTCATATGTAAACCTGAAGGATGACAACATGCTGGCTTGTTTGCTTCACAACCTGCTGATTATATCCATACTGGGGCAATAACTGATTGTGTACTTCAGTACTTCAGAAGATACAGATAAGGAAACAGAGAAAGAACTCCACAGCAACTGTATTTGTGACTGTCCACACATACAGAGAATCAACACTTCATTGAATCTGAAAGAAAGAACTCCAACTGAATGTGCACCACTCAAGAAGTCTGACAGATCAATGAATAGAATTGGGAATATATTTATTGAACAGGGAATATCGTTACAATAATGTTACTTACATTGAATCCAACCAATCAACAAATAACTCATCTTTGCATAGATTAGTCAATAAACTAAGGGACATCTATCTACTCTGCCCTACATACTACACAAGAATATCAACAAATATCGCCTCTGCACTACAGATTACAGCTCTTCTTAGAAAGACAATGTCAATGCCAGTGTTCTTGGTGGCTAGCTATCTCCAGGATGCTAGCTAGTCTGCAAGATCGAAGAGGTCGTCCATGGAGAAGTCGATGCAGCTCGTGTCATCGGTGCTGACGTCGATGTAGCTGAGCACCTCGTCAATGCTCTCCGGGAAATCCGAATCACACCACGCCGGCACCGCCTCGCCGTCCATGGAGGAGGAATACTTCTGCTTGTCCATGAGGTTCACCGCCGCTGCTGCACCACCTCCGGTGTCAGCTTGCTCTAGTGGCAGGACGATCGGTTCGGCGTGATCACGGAACACCGTGTCGATCAACGGGCCGGAGGAGCTCTGATCGGCGCCATCAGCATCCATCGGCAGAGGATCGTGCTGTGGCGGAGACCCCAGCTGCTCGAACATGGCGGTCTCTGACACGCCACCGTCGTTGTCAGTGTGGGCGCCGGCAGTGAAGTCGATGTAGCTGAGCGCCTCATCAGTGCTCTCTGGAAAATCGAAATCACACCACGCCTGCGCTGCCTCGCCGTCCATGGAGGAGGAGTATTTCAGCTTGTCCGTGAGGCTCACCATTGCTGTGGTAGTCTCTGCTCCGCCTCCGGTGTCAGCTTGCTCTGGTGGCAGGACGGTCATGTCGGGGAGATCACGGAACGCCGGGTCGATCACGCCAGAGCAGCTCTGATGATCGGCGCAATCGGCATTGCCAGGAGGGAGATCCACCATTGCCACGGGCGCGAGCGGAGGCTCCTGCTGCTCGAACGGGGCGCTCTCTGACATGGGAGGCCAGCGCTGTTGCCAGGAGGGCTCCATGCCGGCGGTGAAGTCGACGTAGCTGAGTACCTCCGGAAAATTGAAATCACACAACGCCATGGAGTAGTTCTGGTTCACCACTGCTGCGGATACGGTGGTCTCTGCCTCTCCGGCGTCGGCTTGCTCACAGAACGCCGGATCGATGACACCGTAGGAGCTCTGATGATCGGCGCAATCAGCATTGCCAGGAGGCCCTTGCTGCTCGAACAGGGCGGTCTCTGACATGGGAGTGCAGGGCGTGGCGCGTTCCATGCCACCGTCATCTGGCTCAGGTGGCAAGACGATCAGGTCAGCAAGATCGCGGAACGCCGGATCGATGACACCGTAGGAGCTCTGATCGTCGCCATCTGCTGCTAGCGGAAGAACGGGCTGCTCGGACATGGCGTCCGTGAGGTTCACCACCGCTGCGGTAGTCTCTGTAGTGTCTCCGGCATCAGCTTGCTCCGGCATCATGTCGGGGAGATCGTGGAACACAGGCTCGATCGCGCCGGAGAAGCTCTGACCAGCGGATTCGGCGCAATCCACGGCGCTCGGCTGCACGAACAGGGCGGTCTCTGTCACGGCGCGCCGGGGCGCGGCGCGTTGTCCACCGTCGACGTCGTCGTCATGGACGCGGGCGCCCAGGCGTTCCGGCTCCCGCTTGCGCTTCTTGCCGTGGCCGCTGAAACGGACGCGGTAAAGCCGGATCGGCCACGAGGCGAGATCATCGGGCGCCGTGATGGCGTACTCGTGCATCACCCACCCCGAGCTGCCCCTCTCCCCCTCGGCGAAGAAGCTCAGCATGTACTTCCGCCACTCGATCTCCAACCCGCCGCCGACTTCGCCGCCGCCGTCGCCGCCTGGGACGCTCAGCCTCTCACCGTCGACGCAAACCCGCTGCCCCTGCCAGAACCCCCCACCCTCGACGGTACGCTTCTGCCGCTTCCCCTTGACGTTCTTGGCGCGCGCCTCGGCGAAGAAGAAGGCCTCGTCGCCGCCCCGGCCGTGATCGGCGAGGAGCATCCATGGCGGCGCGCCGAGGGGATCCGCCTCGTGGATGACGCCGTGGAGCGGGATGGGCTGCTTCCGGAGGCGCCGGAGCAGGTAGCGGGAGACGAGCTCGTCGTCGGCGGGGTCGAACCTGACGCCCGGCGGAAGCCCATCCGCCGCCGCCGCCATAGCCGCCTCGATCGCTCGAATTCTAGGGTTTTGGGGGTGAATTCTAGGGTTTGGGGGGAAAAGGAGGGAAGGAGGCGAGGAGAGGCGGAAGCGTGTGTAACGGGGCTGGATTTGAATTTATCAGATGGGGTGACGTCAGCGCGACGCGAGGCCAGCGTTTTTCTCACGCGCGCGCCTTCTCCTCTGCCGCGCGAGCAACTTCAGGGCTCAGTTTGATAAAATTTGAGCGATTTGGTTTTGGAAGAAAGTTTCTAAAATTCGAGCAGAGGTTTCAACTATCGCTGATGCTATGCTCCATGCGCCCTGCAAGTACTTAGTCCTGAACTTCTGAAGATTTGGTACATGTTTCTCAACTTCTGAAGGATTTTGTCCCTGTTCTGATCTTCTGAAAGTGAATTTGGATAATTGAACTTCTAAAGACAGTCAAATTACAGGAGAAAAAACAGAGTATTCCTGGAGATTTTAACAGAGCATCTCTTGAAGAATAAGTTTGATTTTGAGCGTGTGTTTTTTTTTAACTAGGACTCCCATTTCTCTTACTAGAAATGAGATAGCGATTACAAAGGTCTCGTAATATTTTGAGCGTGTGTTTTCATTCAGTTTCAAATATATGTCGTGATGATGTGATAGATCTGACGAGAATAGCCTTGCTCTCAACATTGTCAATGTCCCGCTATTTTTACCCTTCTCAGGACTAAAAAGTTCAGAAATGAAAACCATTCAGAGTCATAAGAATTCAGAGAAGTTCAGAGACATTTTGTAAGGGACAATTTCTTATTTGACCCTGTTTTGAACTGTAACTGCCAATTTAACCATACTTTTTGAAGTTTGCTTATTTGACCCTCCTTTTTGAAAACGAAGCTGCCGTCTGACCCCCCCTTTCCACTACTCCGTTAGGGTTGAATAAAAGAAAAGAAAAGAAAATGCTACTAATATTCCTAATGCCCAAAATACCCTCAGAAACCCTATCCATCTCTCTCATGTGACACTCTCTCTCTCTCGTTCGAATCGTGAGTCGGCGGCGATCTGCTCCTGCGGCGGCGGTGATCTGACGGGGCGGTGGAGGAGCTCATCTGAGGGGACGGCGGCGGCGCTCAGAGTGCGCTTGGAGGAGCTCCGAAGGGGCGGCGGTGGGCGTCGGCAAGGGGGCGCTCGGCCGGCGTCGACGAGGGGGCTGCGAGGGGGCCGCGACGGGCGTCGGCAGCGGAGGGACGCGGAAAGAGCGGGTCCGTGCCGGCACCGGCTCGTGGAGAGAGGAAGCGGCGGCGGCGCACGGAGGGGACGACCGGCCGTGCCGGCTCGTGGGGGACGGTAGCGGCGGCGGCGGAGGGGCTCGGAGGGAGCGGATCCACGCCGGTGCAGCCTCGTGGGGGGATAGAGCGGCGACGGCGGCGGAGGGGCATGGAGGGAGTAAATCCGCGGCGGCGCCACCTCATGATGGGAGGGATCGACGGCGGAGGGGCACGGAGCGAGCGGATCCTGGCCGGCGCCACCTCGTGGAGGGAGGGAGAGGCGACGTGCGGGAGCTCGGCGGAGGAAGCTGCGGCGGCGTGCGGAGGAAGTTCCGGCGGCGGTGATGTGGCGGATCCGGCGACGGTTCGATGGCGATGAGGCGGATCTGGCGATGGCTCGACGGTGGCGGCGGCGGCTGCGCTGTTCCTCGATCTGGACGCGGAGGACGAGTTGCGGTGGCGATGCTCCTTCTCGCTTCGAAGAGGACAGAGACGCGGTCTTTCTTGTTCCGAACAAGGAGGAAGACGACACAAACGTGTGAATAAGAAGGGCACAAACGTCATTTCTTGTTTAAGTTAACACCGTTACGTTGATTTAATGGAAGGGGATCAGATCTGATCTTCAGTTTTGAAAATGAGGGTCAAATAAGCAAACTTGAAAAAGTAGGGTCAAATTGGTAGTTAGTTAGGTTCTAAAACAGGGTCAAAAGCGCAATTGCCCCTTTCTGTAACGGAGTGAAATCTGCATGCATTTCACCGGTTTAGAGATTTCGATTCTGATGGCCTCATGGGCACTTTACACATACCAGATGAAATGAAGGGCAGAGTCTATTAGTGCTCACTTTTCTCATGTTCCTTATCATATTTCAGCTATAAGGGTTTGATATGTTAATGCAATATAATACTACCTCATATGTCATTCCTATTGCCCAACAGAAAACCTCTATTTACATTAAAAATACAATCAGCTGTTTATTTGCAAAAACTATCTTGACACACTATTGCAAGTCAGACAAGATCAGCAACTCCAACGTGTTTGCAAGAATATTATTTATGATTAATAAAGCTCTCTCTTTCTTATTAAAAAAAATCTTCGCTCAATGGAACAATAAATTTTTGAAAAAACCTTAAGTATTCGAGACCATTTTCATCATATGCACTTAGCCTTCCTTTTGGAGAAAAGATTTTCTTTTCAGTTTTGCTATTTCACTTGCGACGGATCTTTAGGCTCCTGTCTTTCAATTTTTCTTTTGTAGGATCTTGTATCAAGATTCGTGTTCACGTATATTCAACTTGCAGTTAAACATAGTTACAGTGCACCAAAATTAGATTTTACAACTGTTGTCTCTAGATTTATGATTTTTTTACATGTTTGTCCTTTTTTATTTGATTCAAAATGGGTTGTATCTATTGGTTGAAAATTCTACAAGATTTGAAGTTCCAAATCCGTCGAAAGATCATAGTCCATTTTTTTCCCCTCAAAATCGTTCTCCATTCACATAGAAAATCCTCCAAATATCACCCTTTCCAAAGGACGCTTGCTGGTGCCGGCCTACGTTGTTGAGGCGCAGGTGGCAGGAGTTAGAAAGGGGGCAGAGGGGTATGTGTCGCGAGAAGAAAAGAGTTCTAGGGCTGTGTTCGGTTGGTAGTGTTGGGAACTAATCTCTCACGCATTAAAAATGGAGTGACTCGTTAGCGCATAATTAATTGAGTATTAGCTATTTTTTTGAAAAATGTATTAATATGATTTTTTAAAGCAACTTTAGTATAGATTTTTTTTAAAAAAAAATACATCGTTTAGTAGTTTAAAAAGTGTGTACGTAGAAAAGGGGCTCGGGACTGGTCGTGCCCAGGCTTGGCCGGGCCGGGCTGCCCATTTGGCTACAATCTCATTCTAGAATTGTGGGCAACTTGATCCACGCAATGAAACCAAATCAACACCCTCTAGGAAGATGGAAGAATCTGTTGGCCCTTTGGATCAGACGACACCTTGCTGATCTTGTCTGACCTGCAATAGTGTATCAATATAGCTTTTGCAAATAAACAGCAGATTGTATTTTTGGTGTACAGAAAAGTTTCCTGTTGTAAAGCACAAAAGGATATAGTTGCGCAATAGGAATGACATATGAGGTAGTATTATTTATATTACGGACCTCTTCACTTTGATGCTAAAAAAACCTTACTAAAATTTGGCAATGCCAAAATTTTGGTAACTATACCAAAATTTTGGCAGGATTTCTTATATAGTTATAAAAATTTGGTAGCAACTAAATGTAGCTATTTTTTTGGCAACTTTACCAAAATTTGTTAAGGTTGAAAATGACATCAAAGTAAACAGGCCCTACATTAACATATAAAATGCTTATAGCTGAAAATATGATAAGGAACATAAGTTTTTTGTTGTTGTTGTTGTCGTCGTCGTCGTCAAGAAGCCTTCTTTGAACTTCTCTGAATTCTGATGTCCTTGAATTGAAATCGCCGAACCGATACAAGTCTGAAGGCTTCATTCCATTTCTGAACTTCTTTGAATTCTGATGACTCGGAATGATTTCCATCTCTTAACTTTTTGGTCCTGACAAGGGTAAAAATAGCAGAAGGACACTGACAATATTGAGAACAAGGCTATTCTTCGAGAGATGCTCTGTAAAAATCTTCAGCGATACTCTGTTTTTCCCCTTCCATTGAATTATCCCAATATAATTACCGAAGTTGAGGACTTGGATAGGATAAAATCTTCAGAAGTTAAGGAATTGGTACTTGCAAGGTGCACCGAAGCATAGCATCAGCGGTAGTTCAAATCTCTAGTCGAATTCAGAAATGTCTCTGAACTTCTCTTCGTTAAAAACTTACAATCCCTGCAGACTTCACTTCATTACAGAAAGACAGAAATGTCTCTGAACTTCTCGGAATGCTGATGACTCTGAGTGGTTGAGATCAGAAGTACTTCAGACAATACTCTGTCCCCCCTCTTCTTCAATTACCCTAATTCTACTTTCGGTATCCTTCAGAAAGTTCAGAACATGGACAAAATCTCCATAAGTTCAGGACTTGGTAAAAACAGCAGAAGGACACTGACAAACCTATTCTTCAAGAGATGTTCTTTAAAAGTCTTCAGCAATAGTATATACTTTTTCTCCTGCAATTTGACTGTCTACATAAGTACTAGCAACACTCTTGTCATCCCTCCAATTGAATTGCCCCAATGTATTACTACTATTTTCAGAAGTGCAGGCTGTACGGAGCTTATCAGCAGCAGCGATAGTTCAAACCACTGCTTCGATTTTAGAAACTAATCAAAACAAGTTCCAATTCCAAAACCAAATCGCACAGATTTCATCAAACTTCCAGAAGAAGAACACAAAAAATCCGCAACCCAGACTCAAATCCCCTCAACCGTCGCTCGCGCGGGAGGGGGTAACACGCGCGCGTGAGAAACACGCTGGCCTCGCGTCACGCTGACGTCATCCCCCCATCCGATAAATTCAAATCCACAGCACCGTTGCACACGCTTCCGCCTCTCCTCGCCTCCTCCCTTCCTTTCCCCCCCAAACCCTAGAATTCCCCCCCACAAAACCCTAGAATTCGCGCGATCGAGGCGGCTATGGCGGCGGCCGCGGATGGGCTTCCGCCGGGCGTCAGGTTCGACCCCGCCGACGACGAGCTCGTCTCCCGCTACCTGCTCCGGCGCCTCCGGAAGCAGCCCATCCCGCTCCACGGCGTCATCCACGAGGCGGATCCCCTCGGCGCGCCGCCATGGATGCTCCTCGCCGCTCACGGCCGGGGCGGCGACGAGGCCTTCTTCTTCGCCGAGGCGCGCGCCAAGAACGTCAGGGGGAAGCGGCAGAAGCGTACCGTCGAGGGTGGGGGGTTCTGGCAGGGGCAGCGGGTGTGCATCGACGGCGAGAGGCTGCGCGTCCCCGGCGACGGCGGCGGCGGCGAAGTCGGCGGGGAATTGGAGATCGAGTGGCGGAAGTACATGCTGAGCTTCTTCGCCGAGGGGGAGAGGGGCAGCTCGGGGTGGGTGATGCACGAGTACGCCATCACGGCGCCCGCTGACCTCGCCTCGTCGCCGATCCGGCTTTACCGCGTCCGGTTCAGCGGCCACGGCAAGAAGCGCAAGCGGGAGCCGGAACGCCTGGGCGCCCGCGTCCACGACGACGACGTCGACGGTGGAGAACGCGCCGCGCCCCGGCGCGCCGTGGCAGAGACCGCCCTGTTCGTGCAGCAGTCGAGCGCCGTGGATTGCGCCGAATCCGCCGATCAGAGCTTCTCCGGCGTGATCGAGCCTGTGTTCCACGATCTCCCCGACATGATGCCAGAGCAAGCTGATGCCGGAGACACTGCAGAGACTACAGCAGCGGTGGTGAACCTCACGGACGCCATGACCGAGCAGCCCGTTCTTCCGCTAGCAGCAGATGGCGACGATCAGAGCTCCTACGGTGTCATCGATCCGGCGTTCCGCGATCTTGCTGACCTGATGGTCCTGCCACCTGTGCTCGCGCAGCAGGAGCCTCCGCTCGCGCCCGTGGCAATGGTGGATCTCCCTCCTGGCAATGCTGATTGCGCCGATCATCAGAGCTGCTCTGGCGTGATCGACCCGGCGTTCCGTGATCTCCCCGACATGACCGTGCTGCCACCAGAGCAAGCTGACACCGGAGGCGGAGCAGAGACTACCACAGCAATGGTGAGCCTCACGGACAAGCTGAAATACTCCTCCTCCATGGACGGCGAGGCAGCGCCGGCGTGGTGTGATTTCGATTTTCCAGAGAGCACTGATGAGGTGCTCAGCTACATGAACTTCACCGCCGGTGCCCACGACAACAATGACGGCAGTGTGGGACGCGCCGCGCCATGGCGTCCCGTGTCAGAGATCGCCATGTTCGAGCAGCCGAGCGCCGTGGATCTCCCTCCTGGCGATGCTGATTGCACTGAATCCGCCGATCAGAGCTTCTCCGGCGTGATCGAGCCGGTGTTCCATGATCTCCCCGACATGATCCGTGAGCAAGCTGATGCCGGAGACACCGCAGAGACTACTGCAGCGGTGGTGAACCAGAACTACTCCATGGCGTTGTGTGATTTCGACAGCGGCATTGACTTCACCGCCGGCGCCCACGACAGCGGCATGGAACGCGCCACGCCCTGGACTCCCATGTCAGAGGCCGCCCTGTTCGAGCAGCAAGGGCCTCCGCTCGCTCCCGCGGCAGTGGTGGATCTCCCTCCTGGCAATGCTGATTGTGCCGATCATCAGAGCTCCTACGGTGACATGATCGTCCTGCCATCAGAGCAAGCTGGCGCCGGAGGCGGAGCAGAGACTACCGAGGCCCTGTTCGACCAGCCCGTTCCGCCGCTTGCAGCAGATTGCGCCAATCAGGGCTCCTACGGCGTGATCGACCCGGTGTTCCGCGATCTCGCCGACTTGATCGTTCTGCCACCAGAGCAGGCCGACGCCATGGACGGCGAGGCGGCGCCGGCGTGGTGTGATTTCGATTTTCCGGAGAACATTGATGAGGCGCTCAGCTACGTCGACTTCACCGCCGGCGCCCACGCTGACAACGACGGTGGCGTGTCAGAGACCGCCATGTTCGAGCAGCCGGGGTCTCCGCCACAGCACGATCCTCTGCTGATGGATGCTGATGGCGCCGATCAGAGCTCCTCCTCCGGCGCGCTGATCGACACGGTGTTCGGTGATCACGCCGAACCGATCGTCCTGCCACTGGAGCAAGCTGACACCGGAGGTGGTGCAGCAGCGGCGGTGAAACTCATGGACAAGCAGAAGTACTCCTCCTCCTCCATGGATGGCGAGGAGGCGCCGGCGTGGTGTGATTCGGATTTCCCGGAGAGCATTGACGAGGTGCTCAGCTATGTCGACTTCAGCACCGATGGCGCGAGCTGCGACTTCTCCATGGACGAGCTCTTCGATCTTGCAGATTAGTTAGCATCCTGGAGATAGCAAGCCACCAAGAACACTGGCATTGACATTGTCTTTCTAAGAAGAGCTGTAATCAGTAGCGCAAAGGCGAGATTTGTTGATATTCTGGTGTAATCTGTAGACTAGAGGCAGAGTAGATAGATGTTCCTTAGTTTATTGACTAATCTATGCATAGATGAGTTATTTGTTTATTGATTGAACTCAATGTAAGTAACATTATTGTAAGTAATGAATATACTCCCTTTTCAATCATTATATTCCCTATTCAAAATCAATATACTGCATTGATCTGCCAAACATCTTGAGTGGTGCACATTCAATGAAGTTCTTTCTTTCAGATTCAGTGAAGTGCTGATTCTTTATGAGTGGAGTCATAAATATCCCAAATATCCCAAGTAAACATTCAGTTATAACTCCGGTGTTGTTCTGACAACACCTAATGTTGTCAGTATGGATATAGCCAGCATGTTGTGATCCTTCAGGTTTTGCATAACATGGATATAATGAAATAATCCTTCAAGAATTGACAACAGGCTCCGGAAACAGCAGTTTCAGATTCACCATGAGCAATGTTTATAAGCATGCACCATTCTTACTGAATTATTGACTGAAGTGATTACATGCAACAAAAGGCTCACAATCACTCATCACAAGACCATCTTGACCTTAGTGGTGATATGTGATATGATTCTGACTTCTGGGAATATAGAACAAATATTCGAATCACATCCTTTTATTTGCACTGCAAATGTCACTTATAACACAACGACCACACTAGCAGCTGCAAAACAGAGCTGTAGTTCCCCTAACTTATGTCAGGTACCAGGATCAACACTTACAATTACATCTTACATTATATTTGCATCTACTGAAATACTGAAACGAAGACATCTATCATCCTCAACAATTTACAACAATTTCGCAGGTTCCAATGCAACAAGAGACAGCTATCTCTGCAAAACTTGTTAATGTCAAGCTGAAGATATGACAATGCCGGACCATTCACTGTGCCATCATTTTGTGAACTCAGTAGGCCTCCAGGTCTCATCTCCTGAATCCCAATCTCCACTTCTGCGGAAGTGTTGGATCTTGGATCATAGATGCACAGGGTTCCTGTGGATGGGTGACTTTACATTGTACAAGGGTACCTGCCAATCTCCAGTCAGCCTCCTGTCTCTTGCCAGCAGCACTTGTGCCAACTGCCAAGTGACTTCCACCAAATTTAGTATCATCATCTCTTGCAAACTGAAGTACTACCTACAATTAAAGAAACATAAATGCAATCTGAGGGTAACAAAGTAGATAGAACAAAGTTATTAACTGAAAAAATCTCAGGCAGAACATGAACACCAATTAGAGTCACGGTTTTCCAACATTATCAGTACCAATTAGCACGAGCAGATTCGTGTGTACTGAAGTAATCCAAAGATATAAAATTAAAAACGAAAGAGAAGGGATTATAAATAAGATATTTCTGGTAAAGGGGAGCATCCATGCCGAATTTCATTATATACTTATTCATGATTCATCCTTTCCTGTATTACCAAGAAACAGAAAGTCTCATGACAGTGAGTTTGCCTAACCTCTGTAGCCACAGAACATGCCATCCCCAATTTGGTAGGATTACTGGGTCAGAATCAGTAACGGAATAACACCAGTACACCACACCCTCAATGAAGCCCATTAGGCTATGCTTCCAAGGCTGCAGTTAGCTGTTCACATGAAGCCACCAATACGTCATACGTTAGAGGATATATTAGCTACAAAGCAATGATAACTCAAACTGGCCCCCACGAAACTTTGAGTTTCGCAAGTTTCAAATTCAATGAAGTATGATATTCAGCAGTAGGATCACAACGCATTCTGCATCCAGGAACTAACAAACTTTTTTCCAGTCGTTTTTGACCTCTGTGCTCAGCACATATGGTGTGCCTGATGTTTCATAAACCGTTTGTCCGTCTCAATGCAATGATGCCCAAATCTGTTGCTTATTCCTGAAAAAAAAAAGATGACTATCATCCCATGTTCTAATACCAGCAATACCTTTACATTGTACAGGGGTACTTCATTCTTCAGTCTTCAGTGACTGAAGAGTGAAAAGCAGCACTTGTGCCAAGTGACCTCCACAAATTTTAATCTCCTCACCTTTTCCAAACTGAAGCACTATCTACAATTAACCAAACATAAAAAATCAATTCAATTTGAGGGTAAGAAAGTTGGCACTAAAGAAGTAATTAGTTATCTGAATTCTGAAGAAACTGGGCATTCCAGGCAGAAGCTGCCACACACCACTAGTTCAATACAATAATGATAAAATCGCCGTAATTGTTTTTCCAACATTATCGGTAGTAGTTCGGTACCAGAGACAATATTGTAGTAACTTTAAAATATGCCAAATTCAACAGAGAGAATGGGATTATGCATTTATGCTCATGCCTGAGATGTTATTACTGACAGAAGGGGAATTTTAGAGTGAATTGCACCTTGAGCCACCTTTGATTACCATTGTTACAATTTGGACTAGGTTAAAGCCAAACTTTTCACTTTGGGCCAGATATCTTTACATGATGTTTCAATTTGGACTCCCTTCTTCTTCCTCCAACTCTCTTCCCCCTCTCTCCCCTTCAATCTGTAAAGTCTTCCAAAGAATTCAAAGGGTAGTTTGCATTTTCAATCATCGACTACCTAGTGCTTGTGGCTTAATTTCAAGGACAGCGGAGGGTGCACAACAAGTATTCCTACTGGTAGCAACTAGCATACGAAGAAGCTGGCCGGCAATGACAGACAGTTGCTGCTACTTTCTGAACTGACGATAAGAACTAAGTCAAGTAGCAGATAGCCACGCTCAAGCTCATGCTCGACCTCCGCTAGTGCTACATGTTATGCTGCACGCCTGCGCTAAATTTCCACATGTCGCTCGAGCTTCAACAAGTTTTGCAGCGCTCAAGCTCCGCCTTCGTAGTGCCGCCTGCATTTGAGCTCGAAATCAACTTTGGCGGGTGGCTACCCTGTGAAGGGTTTTGCTTCTTGCCTTTTCATGCACTACACCTGATCGAGAAAGAGACCTTGAGCTGTACAAAGAAAAGAGAGGAAGAAAGGGAGCTGGAGGAAGAAGAAGAGAGTCTAAATTGAAACTTTGTGTAAACATACCCGGTCCAAAGTGAAAAGTTTACTTTTTCACTGGTCCAAGTTACAACACAGGTAAGAAAAAATAGCCCAAGATGCAATTTACTCGGAATTTTATCTACTGTACGAGAGAAGGAAGGAACTAGTGCATAGCATAATCAGTAGGGGTGCGAGGTCTCCGATGCTAAGCCGAGACCGAATCGAGGGGAAGGCTACATGGGAGAGCGTCAGGGTTGGGGGGCTGGGGGCATTGCGCAACATCCCGCCGGCTTCCCAGTCCGGGTTCGCGCCCCCACGGGCCACGGCGTCGGCGGCGATGGTAGCGGCGGCGTTGAACAATGGATGGAAGAGAAAGAGACCAAGTAATACCGGATTAGGTGGAAACGGAGGGGGAGAGTAGTAGGATGTGCACCGGAGTTGGAGACCGGCGGCGGCGCGGCGATGGCTGGAGCACGGCGGTATTGGTTGGCTTCGGCTCATAATAAGCCAAAAAAAATAGGAGTATAATAATAACGAGGCAATGGTAATTTTTATGTTTCACCTATTGGCGGTTTAAAAGCTAATATTAAAGAAAAAAACCATTGAAAAAGTGACTAAAATAAATTAAAATGAATTTTGAAAATATTTAATTGTGTGTGGTGTGTGGGGTGGGGGGGGAGAAAAATTATATGTTTAAGAGTATTTGTATACTATTTTGCTTCAAATCCATCCAAAATTCCAGGCAATAATCGTGATGATGAAATTTAAATAAATTTGCCTCCAAGATCGAACATACCAAACGGCAGAATTTCGGTTTTTATTTGATTACCAGTAGTCATGCACGTGCAATGCGTGTTTTCATATATGTTGTTTCAAAAATAAAAATACTGGATTGTTGCTTCATTTCCATCTCTAATGAGAATTATAGTTACAAAAGCGATAAATTTCTCCTAAACAACTGAAGTTTACTTCATAAATAAATGACAAATAAGGGTCTTTATTTGAAAACAATAATTTGAGTATCAATCGTTGTTTACATATGAAAGCCATCACAAGTTCATAAATCTGTGAGGTATTAGTTACTAAAGGTATTTTTCACGTTCATACTGTCGTGTACTTTTAAGCAACCTAGGAAACAAACAGAGCAATGACATGATCCATTTTTCTTGTGTGCTTTTCAGGGTAGATTCTATAATTCAGTGATTCAAATTCCATCACAACCAACTTTCAGGTTTGAAGCGTGATTCAGATAATACCATATACACGTTAGGAACTCCACACCATGTTCTAATATTTTCTTCTTTAGACAAACAAACACACGCAAGTTTTAGGTGAGGTTTTTTTCTCCTAAAAATGAAGATGAATATAAAGATTAAGTTTTTGACATAAAACAAGATGGTATTAACGTATGATTGATTGAGTTTTAATTATTACAAACGTAAAAAAATAGATTAATATGATATTTTAGAGCAACTTTCATATAGAAAATTTTTGCACGAAAAGCACCGTCTAGCGGTTTGAAAAACGTGCCACGAAAATCTTAATCTTCATTAAACTCTTGTTGGAGAAAAGAACGGGACATAATTAATACCTCACCAAGAACACCTGTAGTTTCTGCTACACAAGCAGGAGCATGCTTAGCATTATATTATCAAACATGATGAAGGGCTCACTGCTGTACTGTTGAGCTACCGTAGAGCACTATACTTAGCCATCTTCCAGATTTTTTGCTACTACAAATCTGCTATAGCAAAGCAAGCATAACTTAAAAAAAAGGGGAAAAAACCATGGTGCTGTCAGGATTTCTCAAATCTCCCAAGAGAACATCCCTGCTTTACCCAGATATTTTTTTTAACTGATACCGGCAAAAAAAAAAAAAGGAGTAACTGTAGATATCCTCTCGCCATAGCAATCTGCAACAAATATATTTGCTGTAAGCTCAAAAATGAACATCTATCTGCTTTCAAAAGGGAAAAAAAACAGCTAATGAAATATAAAAAATCTGCATATCCTTTCTTTTCCCTGATCAGAATATTTTTCACAATGCTCTACCAATCCCGACTTTCTCATTGCCATTTCTGATGGTGCTATCAAATCCACGGTTGCTGTCATCCATATCAAGCCACGCAGTGCTGACAAAGGAAAAGATTAAAAAAAATAGAGTAAAATACACCAGTGGTCCTTAAACTTGTCAGGAGGTTTCACTTGTTGGGATACGCGTAGGCTACGATAGCATAAATCAAAATTTTCTATCGCGTAAACCAGGAACCATGCAAGTATTAGATCATAAATCGTTACCGCTCGACGCGCTGCGCAGCGGAAGAAGACGCTGAGAAGTCGAAGGAACTCTCACGAAGTAGCGCGCGTCGATATAGAGGAAGTAGTCAATCGCACCGGCTCGACCTTCTCCTTCTCGTGCGTTCTCCTCGCCGTACTCCCACGCTGATCAACACCGCAAACCAGCGGCGCCTCTACCGGTATCCACACGTATAGGGACAGAACGCTACGCGCAGATGTGCTAGCACCCGCGCGCGGCTAGGGTTTTGCTCGGGGAGGGAAGTGACGGCTAGGGTTTCTCACGTAATGCAATACCTCCTCCGGTCACACCCCTCACGAATATATAGGATCAATCACTCGGGCCTCGAAGGTCCGTAGGACTCCTATCTGAATTAAGCTCATATTGGATCTCTATACAATCCCCTTATTCCGGCCCATTAAGCGTGCGACCCTATAGGTTCATATATACTCGACTGTAACCCGAAAACTCCTTTTCGGTCCACGCGTCAACAGCGGCCCCTAGCAGAACGTATTGACCCACCGGGCATACATAAAGATCATATCGGCTGAACCTCTAGTGTATACTTGTATGAACCCCTTTGCCTCACAATATCGATTAAGCTCAAGGCTAGATATGTGCCATTCTCTAATAGCTCAATCATTCGCTCGAACATGTTGATAGATTATATAACTTGTGATTGACTCCTCAATCACCTTTGGCATGGCCATGCACTTCCATAATCTACATCATCGAGGAGCCCAGAGATATCTCTCCATAGGAGGGGCAAATCCCATCTTGATTATTCATATCCCACTACATGTTTCATAGCATACCCGAAAACTACTTTTATAACTACCCAATTATGGAGTAGCGTTTAGCAGTCCCTAAGTAAGCTACTACACATGTTGAGAACCATGATAATCTCAGGTCTAAGGATTCAACACCAACACTCAATGAGATCACTGATGACACAACACATATGGCTCTTGCAATGTCTCATGTTGGGTCTATCCAACAACATGTTCACCAACATGTGTCCACATTATTAATTTGGTATCTCTATACCATGATCCATGAGATATGATTATCAATTAATACATGTGCTGATCATATAAACATATTTGTTCCACATATGATATTTGATCAGGGATCCTTTAAAAATAGTAATAAACAACATAAAGAGTCTCATGAAATAATCACATATTCATTAACCAATAAGGAGTTATCTATTTCAAGGAACAATGTCGGATAAATATGTAAACATAGTATGTGATACATATCATCTCTATGATTGCCTCTAGGGCATATCACTAACATCACTTAGGTCCACAAACTTGCATAGTGCACATCGAAGTCCCTAAACTTGGTTTATTGTATCATCCCGGTCCAAAGCCACGTTTGACTGTGGTTGACATAGAATTTTTTTATATTTTTTCTCGCTTCTTCCTTCTTTTTTCTCTTTCTTCCTTCTTTTTTCTCGGTGGTGAGAGGCAGCACGAGGTGAGGGGCTGTCACAGTGGTGAAGAGAGAAAAAAATAAAAAAATTTCATGTCATCGTTCACGTCGCGTGCCACGTAGGCAAGACCGCGGTCAAACGCGGCTTTGAACCGGGATGATACAATAAACCAAGTTTAGGGACCTAGATGCGCGCTTTGCAAGTTCATGTACCTAAATGAAACCTCCCAACAAGTTTAAGGACCGCTGGTGCATTTTACTATAAAAAAATAAGTTGAATGAAGGATACTGTATCTGAGTGAGCATTCCATCGAGCAACTTGTGTGCAACACACAGAGGGACGGAGAGTACCGTAAGAACATGTGGAGAAGAAATGGGGGAGGAGGCAGTGTTGAACATTGGCGGGGGCAGGCACCTCCTCGGAGCATCTCCTTCTCCGAGGATTCAGCGAGCTTCAGTTGTGTGAAATCGTCCATGAATATGCATTCCCAGGTTAATACATGGCCAGAGGGAGCTGCGAGAGGGAGCGAAAGCGAAAGGAGACGCACCAGAGAATCTGATGGCTGTGGAATGTTTCTTGAATCTTTCCTGCTAACACCGTGATTTTACGTATTCGCTATGCATTTACGATTAGTCTTGTGTTTTTTTTTAGGAGATCAGATAGCATTGTCGTGTATGCTTCGTGCATCACCAAACTAGTATCATTGATATGTCACGTGCAATTGGAGTACCGTCAGATGTCCTTTAAGCAGGCTAATAAATAGCGTTCGTAGCGGCCGCTATAGTGGCAGTGGACCTCTACCGCTACCGCTACAATGTAGCATACTGCAAATAGCGTATTAGAATTTAGCGGCCGCTATAGCACTTCATGACCGCTATAGCAGCCCGCTATAGCGCTTCACGACTGCTATAGCAGCCCGCTATTGATTTTGTTGGATTGCTATAATGATTAAACGGTGTGCTTCACATATGGATAGAATAACTTAGCATTGTATACCTTCTTTTATCTTATATATTTATATGTTACTAGAAAAGTTGCCCGTGCGTTGCAACGGGTGAAGGTATGCGGTCGGTAGTACATTAAGGTGAAATTTACTGTGGGAATTCACTTGGATATACATATATTTTTAGAAAATCATGAGTGCAGTTAGGAGTCCGATAGTCTAAAGTTACCATGTGAGTTTTTTTAGTGAGATGTCATATACGACGACTTCTATATTTCCAAAAGCGAAATAACTTAAAAACTAACTCAAATACGGATATGTATTATTTCCAAAGCGAATGAACTTAAAATCCGACTCATACATGGATAACATACTTAAATACCGACAAAAACATCTTCAATTTTTATAATAGTAGAGATTTCATAATTTTTATGTTATGAAATGTAGGAGTAATTAAACATGCAGTCTAAATTTTAAATTTTAAGTGAAACTTGATGTTAATATTGATATACAATCTTAATTTATGGTCATTTTTCTTAATTCTGTTATTGAAACTTAGCGTCTGCAATAGCGCCTGCTCTCCACAATCCGCTACCTAGACACTAATCCGCTAGCGACTCGCTATATGCTATTTATTACTTTGCCTTCATGTGAAATCGCTGAACCACAACGATGCCTACACACTTCGCTCTGTTGAGGAAATGTTTCTAAAATATCTATCTATTTTTTTTTAACGATCAGCACCACCAGACAGCACAATGGTTCATTGAATAGAGTAGGGAAAACCCCTGAAAAGCAGTAGCCAAGAAATAAAAAAAAAACCACTACCACGCATCGGCAATACCTACACACAGCCAAGAGAAGATTAGCACTGTACCCGCTGCCGCTAAGCGTGACCGGTTACCACTAGACCAACAAGGAAGCTACATCGAGACCTCCTAACACCAAGCCATACGCAGCCAAGCACCGAACTCAACTCTAGCCATACCTTTGAGATTGAGGGGGAGAGAGTGACAGAAAAGAATGGATCATTCTTTCCTCTAAGGCCAGCCAACATGGCCAACTTGCAAAAGGTAGGATTGCGCCACAAGAGGACAAGATATCTTCAGAAAGCTTGCACCAGCTGTCTGAGAGAATTTTTGGCAAAAGGACCTCCTAGATGACATCTCCACGGAGAAGAGCGACGATGAGCAATGACACCGCTGTCCGTCAAGATCTCGGGGAGAACCAAGACAGGGTTTACACTCAGTAGCCCCACCAAAAGAAAGGGGACGACTCGATAATGCCCCAAAGAGGAAAAACGCGCTTGAAACGCAGTTGTTGCTAGTCTGGCAAGACTGAGCTAGGTTTACACCCGCCTCCCGCCTCCCGCCCCCTAGTCGATCCACAGCTAATGCTCCATTGCTCCACCTTCGGCTATCCTCCGTCAGTGCGTGGACACTGCTGCACCGAGACCCCCGACCAGCCTCCGCATGCTTCCACGTGGCCTCTCGCGGACAGCCGCCGCCAGTTGAGCATCCTCGCACCGCGCCGGCTGTCCCCCTGTAGTGCCAATGCTACTCGGCGCCACGTCTGCTCCCGCCGCAATTAGGCCCCACCACCACCATGTTGGATCGCCGCCCTGCTTTCCATCGGTGAGGTGGGGGAAGGGGGGAAAGGGGTGGCAGCAGGGCTAGGTTTCGCCTCCTGTGCCGCCCGCGCGTGGTGACACAGGGTGGGAGCAGGTCTAGCTGTCTGCTTGTATACAGATTGAAGCTTGTTCCCATCTCTGAATTCTGATCTGAATGATTTCTGTTTCTGAACTTTGGGTCCTTCAAAAAAGATAAGGTAAATGTAAGTATGAACTTTGGGTCCTTTAACAAGGGTATAAGACAGGAGGAGCAGATCATCGGGAGACAGCAGAAAAAGGATAAAGGTAAATGTGAGTATGGCATTAATAAGTGGCATGACAGCAATTTCAGCAGTTCGTATACATGGTAAATTGTTGACAGAAAACAGTAAACTCTAATCATCCAAAAAGACATGTCGCAGTATATATATACCTCACTCTCCATAAGAACATATCTCACAAGCTAAATGTTCAGGGTAACCACCTGAACAGCGTTATCCTTGTCAACAACAAACGATCTGGTTACCTTTCCTGAAGGCGTTGCTACTTCTACCGTGTATGACCCATGGTAGCCTCTGAACTTCAACTCTCCATGGTGATCCACGTTGCCAGTAATGCTGGTTAGCCACTCTTGCTTCAGTGCAATGTACCTTTTGCCAGCCTCATTGATCGTTCCATCAACATCAACCAGGTGAGCGTGTTCTCGGAACATGAACAGCTCCCAGAATCCCCAAAGGATAATCCCCTCCACGGAAGGATGCGCAAAGGCTTCGCGAAGGTACACCTCCAGATCATCGGCTCGGATGTGTTCATTCTCAGCCGTGACATCCAATTCGGTGATCCAGATAGGGAGACCCAGTATGGAGAGCTTGTCCAGGGAATCGCAGATGATGTCACCCACTGGATGCGTGATATGACCTTGCAAGCCAATCCCACCAACTGGAGCACCCCTTTCTTGGAGATCAACAATCTGTTCAATTAATTTTTCTGGTGTAGATTTTGAGTCGCATCGATCTTCAACATTGTAGTCGTTCACAAAGAGTACTGCTGAAGGGTCAAGTTTATGTGCTTCCCTAAACATGTGAGCTCTAATATCATTTCCCAGTCTATCTTGGTAGAAAGACCCATGAAGCATCTCGTTGTTTACATCATGATGTTTAAACTGACCTTTGTACCTTGACAACAGACTTTGCAAACGATTCTGTATAGCAGCCATCAGGTGGTGACCATGTAATGATCGAATCCATGGCTGGACTGAATCTTCTACTTCCCAGAATAAGCAGTGACCACGAACTTGAATGTTATGTTTCCGGCAAAATTCAAGCAACTCATCAGAATCTTTATAATTTAGTCTCCCTTGTTCAGCCTCTGTCCAGTACCACTTCAGTTCATTTTCAAATACAGCCCAATTAAAGTTCTTCATGAAGAAATCAGCAAGATCCTCATTCTCAATGTTACTTCTCCCTATGCATGATCCAAATGGAAAACTGTTCTCGGTCTGTTGTATCTTGATAGATGAACCAAAAAGGTTTGCAGCATCTGATCCCTGGAACTTCAGGATGACATCACGCTTCCTTACCTATTTGGGAAAAAGAAGGAAATGTAACTTCAATGTTGCCCACAATCACTATTATAAGCAAAGCAATGGATACTTTATAGAATAAAATTTTGGTCTAAAATTGCCATGAAGAAAATAAAGATTCTTTTCAAGCTTCTGCAGACATAAATTTATCATCTTAACATACAAAAGAAGTAAGGAAAGTTTACCTTGTCAGTTTTCTCCTTCAGATATTCAAAACGTGCTTTTCTATCAACAGCATAAATTTGGAACCCCATAACTCTGAGATCAACACCTGGAGGCGGTCCCTGAACATATGCAGTAACTTTGGATGGCTTCTTTTCAAGCTTGAATGCTCCTTTGAGTTCATACCATTGATCGCCATCAGCTTCTACTTGCCCACCATTAACCCACTGATGATCTACAGCAAGACAAACATTTACATGGTAACGTCCATGTCCTCCAGACCCAGCACGTACCCAAGCAGAAACTCTGTAAGTGGTGTGCAGCCTAAGCTTGTCAGTTATCAACTGGGAAGGGCCCATCCACACATCAGTGCGGTTTGTGGCAAGAATATAAGAACCTCTTATATGTTGCTTAGCTGAGGGGTCCTTCAAGATGGCAGAAAGCATATGGGGTGATTCAGTATGGATACTCAATCGACATGACCCCATGGGACTCCACCCAGAAAGCCCATGACTGAAAGCACTGTTATGTATTACATTAGCTCCATATGAAACATTCTGCAGTATAAAGAAATTATCCTTGATTCAGAATTGGTGTTCAAAATTTCACTGTCCATCATCATGATTTGATAAACTTCTAAACATGTATCAAGATCATTTAAATAAGAATGTTAGTCAGAAGGAATTAGTTTAAACCTCAATTCTTGGGCGGGGTGCAGCATGGAGTTTTCTTGCTGGAGATAGGACAAGGCCATCAACAAGAATATCAATGCCTGCAGGTGGCCCCTCTACGAAAATAACAGCTTTTGAAAACGGGGCATGGAGGAGGAACTTTCCTTTTAGATGTGTCCATTGCTTATCAGATGCCGGGTTCCTTTGTATACAAGAATATGTTAGTAAACCAGTCTATGTTTACAAAAATAACGCTGCCACTTGTCACAGAAAGTGTAACCAATGAAATAAGCATATACTTACTTTGCAAGGCTTACATATCGCTCACGGCCATATTCTTGTACCCACAGAGTAACGCAGACTTCTGTATCATTGGCACTCCCAAATATGCGGACAGCAGAACTTATCTCATAAAGAACTTTTCTCTGTACCCTGCCAGTGATATCTTGCTGGATACCGTTCCAATTGTGGACCCGTCCAGTGGCTGAAGCAAAATAGCTGCCATTTAGAGGCTTGACATTTCCATAAGCAGTAAGCTCATGCCTACAGATATTGCATCCTCTTCCAGACCAATTGTTTAACCCTTCGTCAAAGTGAGGATTCTTAACGATGGTATCAACTCCACTTGGTACTTTTACTTCCTTTGGAAAGAAAGATTAAGAAGTAATAAGCATCGGCTAAAAAGGCAATGTTTGTATTATATAGCAGGAAAAGCATGAATGAACATATGATGAGATAAATCCACTGAAGGTAGAAGCAGACATATTTAAATTTGTAAAAAAAATCAACTATGTGTTACCCCTTTGCACTAAAAAACCTATTTGGGAATACATTAGGTCAGAAAAATAGCAATGGTTCAAAACATAAATTTTGGCTAAGAAGAATTTTAGCACTCTACATTCAATAATCAGTAAATTCAAGCTAGTTGCTCAGCCTCCTAATTATACTTCCGAGAAACATGTATCACGCCAAGATTCACATGAAGAAAAAGTTAATAACGTTTCTTAGAAAAAGGTTAAAGCAAATGCTGGTGGAAAAGCACTCACTTTTAACTGCTGATATCCAGAGCAAGTTACATTTACGGAATCAATGATAAGGTCCACGCCAGCAGGAGGTCCTTCCAGGTAGAATACTACACGTTTTGGCATATTTGTCAAGCAAAAGGATCCTTCCATCTTCTCCCACTTTTCTTTTGAAGCTAACAGGCTATTAAATCAAGAAGGGAAAAATTAGAGGAGAGGTGAGAAAAAATTTGATCGTTGAACAACTTTTATGAAATGTACCTTCCAACTGGACTGTAGTGCGTTGAATCATCTGTGTTATGCAACCTCAAGGTTGCTTTAACTTCAACTTTCGTATGGATATTCCCATCAACTCTAACATAGGCTGATACTGCATAAGCAGTACCAGCAGATACTTTATCTGTAATATCTTGTTCAAGACCTTGCCAGCTTTCAGTTCTCTTCGAAACTACAGCATAATTTTCTCCTGAGCTCCCTCTAATACCATCAAGGAAACCAGACCATTGAGATGCCACATATGCATGACAGCAGATAGGGTTCCACAAATGAAGGCCTTCCGAAAAATCATAATTTGAAATGATGTTTTCTGTTCCACTAACCAGTTTGGATGCAGCCCGCTCTGTTTTCTACAGAAACTCTGAAGTAGTTAGAAAATGGTAGCTTAGAGTAACAAATCCAATCGAATAATACAATGTCAACCTTTAAGCACCACTGATAGCTTGATGGGGAAAAAAACATGACATGTCTCAACTACGCATAGCAAAAACTGTAGTAGTATGTACTGGCATGTTAAGAAAAATATATCATGATCACAATTAGTCTTAGTGTATGATTTTTCCTCTTCTTTGCTATGACTACTGAGAAATATGGTGTGGACATATTAAGACAGCATTAAATCAGACTTTTAGAGCATGATTCATATATCACAAGATTGCTCTGACATGAACATAAGCAAAGAGATTTAAAAGCATACCTTGTAGGAGATGGTGACTGAATCTATGAGCAAGTCTACACCAGGAGGGGGGCCTTCAATGTAGAATACCAAACGTCTTGGTAGAGTTTTTAGTTCAAATGAACCTTCCAACTTCTCCCAACAGTCTTTTGATGCTGAGATCCTGGTAAAACAACTTCAACTGATAAATCCATGATGGTGTATAATATTCTATAAAATCACCTTCCAGTTAAAATACCTTGCAACTGATTGATAGTTCGTAGAAGAACCATCGCCCTCAAGTTTTAGAGTGGCCTGAATTCCAACAGGCTCATTGAGTTCACCATGGACTCTGACATGGGCAGCAACAATGTACTCAGTACCAACAGTGACCTTTTCTGTTATGTCCTGCTCAAGCCCTTGCCAATTATGTGTGCGACGAGTAAGTACGGCATAATTTGACCCTGAGTGAGGCCTTATTCCATGATGATAACCTGATCCTTCAACAGCCACAAATCCATGGCAACCATTAGGATGCCACAAATGTAGACCTTCCGAAAAATCATTGTTTGACAGAATGTTCTCCATGACAACTTTATCGGAAGCGCCGTGCTCCTCTACTTCCTGCTCAACATTGTATGATAAATAAATTTCTGCATTGCTAGTCCATGTCATTGGGAGAGGAACTGAAATTCATGGACAGCTAACATCCTATCACACATGTAGATTGTTAGGGACTCGTGGAACTATAGGTCTCAAACCATATTAGTGTGTATCACTGGATCTGTATGTTTTTTAGTGGTATCTAGTTCATCCTTTCCTACAATGTCAAACTCTACAACTATACATATCTTGCATTCCAACCTTGAAATTTAACTCTTAGGACTATATATCTTGCAAACAATCAAAATTCCAACCATGAAATTAAAAGATAATTCCATTTCTTATTGGTAGGATCTCCACCACCATTTTTCATCAATCACACTGTAAACACGCCCTGACTAAACATTCCTTGCGCCCTTTGCGGTTGGTACGCAGTCAATCAGCAAGGGATGGCACCACCAAGCAAAACTATCCTGGATCCTTCCAGGTCAGAGAACTAGCAAAACTCATTTACCCTTGGAAGTTGGAAAGAAACAAAGGCACTAGCTAGTAGCTACGGATGATATATAGATACCTTGGACTCGAGACGCGGTGGATCTGGCTGCGGGAGCGGGGCCGCCGCCGCGCGTCCACCCCGGCGAGGGCGGCACAGGGAGGAGAGGCACCCCCAGCGCCTCCTCATCTCATCTCATCTCAAATCCGGCAGCGGCTGAGGAGGAGGAGCAAGAACCTGCCGGTGGGTGGACTACTGCCTACCGGGCTCGCTGGCAACCAAGAATTAAACCCCAAGGAAATGAACAGAAAGAAAGGCGCGTGAGAAAGCCGGTGGTTTACCTTCACCTAACCACCGACCACCGAGGCCCAGCTTGAGGAGGAAGGGAAGCATACAGAGAGAGACAGCAGAGACGGCGCTGTCCGCAGCTTGGTCGGTCGGTTGCGTTGTCCACGGGGGGGAAACCCGACGTGCGCGGAGAGGGGAATAGGATCAGATGCCAAGGAGACGAACGCGGCAACGCGAAACCGCTGGCGACGAGGGAATCGAAGAATCTCTCCTCTGCGGCATAACGCCGAACACCCCGTGGGCACCCAAGCCAGTCAAAATAGGAGCGAGAGAGAGAGAGAGAGAGAGTCTCGCGAGTGGGGTTTACCTCGCGGAGAAGACCGGCGGCCGGCGGGGAGTGGCGGGGTGGGGAGGAGAAGCTGAGGCGTCGACGTGTAGACGACGTGAAGGCTGTCTGTCCGACGCCGGGGAACGCGAACCGATCGAATCGGAAGCGTCGCGACTCGCCGAGGTGGGGGAGGTGCGTAAATTGGACCGTGGAGTGAGTGGAGTGGAGTTGACCATCCCTTTTTTGTTTTCCATGGACCTGACACGTAGTACTACCACCTTTCCTTCTTTCTGAGCAAAATGTGTTCCTGTGCAAAGTACCGGCAAAAGGTACAGACCTGTACGTGTTCATGGCGATTTGGTCGGTCCGGCGAGCTTTAACTTTTAAGCACACTCTCCATCGTTGACGGATCAGAAAATCGATTATGTCATAACGTATCTATCGGTATCATAGTATACTAAATTACTAATTATACTTAGATCATAGTGTTATAACATATGGATAAACAGTTTTGCTATAGGTTTTACCGAAAATCGTCGATGTCACCTGACACCGGTCCTTCTACTGTAGATTCGCCCTTGCCCTCCGTCCCAGAAGGGACGTCGCTTTATCAGGTAGAAAATGTCCCAAAAAATTTAACGCTTAAACTCTCCTGTCATCAAAAATACTAATGCAAAAATGTACTTGAAATAAAACGCATAGGAGTGGAGTTGTCTAGTATACTTTCGAATGTTTCTGCTCCACGCGAATTTTCCTCCCAAGCACTACCTTATCCTCTCTTGTTTTCTCTTCTTCCCCATTTCTCATCTATCGTGTTCTTGTTCTTTTACAGTTTCTATGTTAAAGATCAAAAGCTTTCTCAAGGTGAGATCAAAAGGATGTATAGCCCCAGCATGCCTTCCTTCTTCCTCTATATTGACTTGTGTTTTACTAAGGTCAGGTAAACCCCATCCATCTTCCTCTTCATGTGCTAGTTTGTTTAAATCTACCGTCATTGTGATATGTGGACATGGAGTTGCTTTACAGGTTGATGAATGGAATGGCAAGCGGCTGGTTGACTGCCTCCTTAAGGATTTGTAGGGAATAGAGGGGCACCCATTGGCGGCAAAAGTAGCATCCACCATGTATTTTGAATTCATGGGTCTGCTGGATAATTGTGCCCCATGTAATGGGAGTGTTTTTGCCGCTAGTGAACTCAAAATAGGTGTATGTTTTGCTGCCTTATTGTCGGGACAAATCATTCATTAGTTAATTGTAGACATGAAATATTCCTTGTATGACAGGAGTGGCATGTGTACTCTTTGGTTTGAAATAATTAACTGTAAGTAATAGATTGGGAGCAACATGGTCATTTTCACCTAAACATAATTTGCTTCAACCATCCTAGGACGTCAAACATAGTGGAACAGAGGGAGTATATTGCACCTTATCTATACATATTATGCAACTTAATTTCCCACAGCAACGTGATAGGGTATTCATCTACTTAGAAAAGAAAAGGAGCATGCTGCATAAATAGCGGCAAGAAAAAAGAATCTTATATAAGAAATCTAGCTATCTTAGTAAAACATTTTTTTTCTATTTATAAGTTAGCAAGTTAAAATTGGTTAGAGGTGTTGTTTTATGAACTTATATTACCAAAATTGTCTGGTGTATCACGTGCAAAAAAATATGGTTTTATGCAATTTAATTATAACACGCAGTAGGAGCCTCCTACTATTTTCCCGTAAAAAAATAACTATAACACCTGGGATTTTATGTGATCCACTCTGTTTCAAGGCTAATCTCTAATATGAAACTTTCACATCTTAAATTCTTCTATGAAAACATATTTACAAGGGAATTCTTGCTAAAATTTTAAAATGGACCAATATGTTACTACTCCACGCGTTTCATATTATAAGTTATTTGATTTTTTTTAGTAAAACTTCTTTAAGTTTGACCAAATTTATAAAAAATATAATAACATTTTCAATACAAAATATACATTCATAAAAATATATTCAATGTTAAATTCAATAAAACTAATTTGGTATTGTAGACGTTGCTAATTTTTTCTATAAATTTAATCAAATCTAAAGAACTTTGAGTAAAAGAAAAAGTCAAATGACTTCTAATAAGAAACTTGGGAGTAACATTTAACTGTATGGCATCAACATATAACATATTAGTGCCAATCCCATGAACTGGACCGGCTAAGGCTCTGTGCAAGAGTTGGTTCCCTACCCAAACATCCCTACCCAAACAGTACGCACGAAATACGGAACGGTCTATTAACATATGATTAATTAAGTATTTGCTATTTTTTTTAAAAAATAGATCAATATGTTTTTTAAGCAACTTTCATGTAGAAACTTTACGTAAAAAACACACCGTTTAGCAGCTTGAAAAGCTACGTGCGGAAAGTTGGGAACAACTATTGCGAATAGAGTCTAAATCCTCTTCAATGGAACCCATCGGTGTGTAGTGGTACGGATTGGAGTAAGGTTGTCGCCAATATAACTTCAACGTTGGCTCATTGCCACTGTTTGTCAAATCTGTTTAATCCCGGTCACAATAAGCTCTCTCTGAAGTGACAAAAAATTAAATTATTCCTCATTAGAATATTTTTTTCTAAGAATATACCACTATTTTGTAGAACAATTTTGATAAAAGTACCAATTACTGCATCCGCTTTCATAAATTCTTGACGTTTCTCCATTGTACACTTCTACTTATATTATACTTTTTAAGATAAATCTTATATTGTTTTAATGATTTTAAACTAAATATTTTTTAAAGTTTTGGTAGTTCAAATTATAAAAGTTTAATCTCAACAGAGATTAGAATCGGAGGGGGTACAAAATTTGCAGCCGTAGTAACAGAGATTAGAAGGAAAAATAATAAAAACAACAGTCTGTCAAGTACACGCCTGCCTTGCCGGTTGCCCCTCGCCGGCGGCCTCGTAGCCGGAGCCCGTCCTCTCCGCCGCGCCCGCGTCTGCCGGCTTGCTGGCGAGCTCGCGGGCCATTGCCGGAGCCCGTCGCATTGACCGAATCGCGGGGCAAAACCACCACCATCCGCGCCATTGCTTCCGAGCGGCGGGAAAGGATCGAGGATCCCCTTCCTTCTGCATATTGCGTTGCTTGCTTGCATCATTCTCCACCGCCACCGCCGCTGCTGCCCCCCGCCTTTTTCTCTTCCCTTTTGCCGCCGAGGCGCGGTGCGGGCCACCGCCACGTGATGGAATGGAAGAGGAGCATACCGCCGCCTCAGGTTTTTGCTTCTTCCCCCGCGCGCCATCTTGGTGCGGACGGCGGGAGATTCTCTGCGCACCCTATCGCCGCCTGCGGAAGCAATCTGACTGGGCTATGCCCATCATGTGTTCGACGGAGTGCCGCAACGGCAAGAAACCTTAAGACTTCGTTTTTATTATATCTCCCCTAGGACAGAGGCGGAGGAGGATCAGGATTGGTTATACATCAGGCCGTACCACGCCCTTGTATTCAAAACTTTAGGTATGTTCATCGATTCATGCCCCCAACAGCCTTCATTTTCCTCTAGTCCGTGTTCTTGTTCCGTTCATGCTGCCGGAATCTCACAGCTCGACAAACCGGTGTCCCAACTGTCCTGTTTGCTGGTTCTTGGCACTTCAAACTTAGCGCAAACATGATGTATCATGTATGTATCGATACATAGTAGCTCTGGGTTTAGCGGAATTGTATGTACATGCTCATCAAGGGGATGTTTTTGGTTGCTAGTCAGTAATCACCAAGTCACACCTACAATTTTTCTCTCTCACTTGCATTGTTGCCTTAAATTGTAGCCACGCCAATAAGCATCAGGAGAACCTTGCAGAAGTGGAGTCGTGTGCAAAATTATGACATTATTTGTGGTGCGGCCCAGATTAATATTTAAATAAAAGGAAGCCTCACTTACAAAGAGTAAAAAAATGAAATGTATATCTAATCATTTATTGTTGTGCTTGTATCTGCTACCTATTTTTACATTCAGGTTAGGGGACCTTGCAGGGCAAACAGAGATCACTGCAATGACATTGGATTTCTTCTTAGTGCGCTTGAATCTTACTTTCCAAACATTTGCTGCCTATAATTACAAGCCTATAATAACTTGTCTAGTCAATAGCTAGCATTGTAGTAATTGGGTATCTTCATCATTTGTCCTAAAAAAGTTACTTATCGAAATCTTCCGTCATCATCCACCCTTTTATAATTAAATAAGTATTCTCCACGAAAACAGTGTGTCTCACTCTTTTATGAGGGCTGGCTATCATAATGTTAGGACTAACTTTACTAACTTTCCAATTGAAGCTTAGTGGTTTCTCCGGCAAGTTGACAAGAAAAACTGATCATATCAAAGATGAGCTTCAAATCTATTGACCGGTTAATTAGGAGGAACAGTAAGACCAAACTTTCTCGGAATATTGTTGATGGTATTTATGACCAGAAGGAAGAGCAATATGTGCAATCCTTGAGGGAGTTGCTTCTTGCAAACAACCAGCTTCCCGAGAAGTTTGATGACTATCATGTCCTACTACGGTATGCAAATTTGTTTCCTATCCAGAAACTTTGTCGTGTACACAGTTACTGCACTAGAGTTATCCATCTTTGTAACTAAAAGAAGATATTTTACACCTCCATTCTCTTAGCTCTGATGTATTCTGCTTTTTCATTGAGGATGAGCTTTATCTGATTGCTTTCTTCATCATGCAGCTTTCTGAAAATGAGAGGATTTAACATAGTAAAGGCAAAAGAAATGTTTTTAAATATGCTAAAATGGCGTGAAGAATGTGCTGTTGATGCCATTGCAAAGGTACGATGTGCTTAGTGTTTTTTATTTTTCTGTACAGGTAAAGGTTGTCCAAGACTGATGCTTAAAATATTCCTGTATCCTTCTACTTTGTTATCCATGAAAATTGAATCATGGAATGCCACGATATTATGTAATATTGTTGAAATATTAAGAGTAAATGATTTTTCTATGTTACAGGATTTTAAATTTGAAGAGTACGATGCTGTAAAAAGATGCTATCCTCATGGATTTCATGGAGTTGATAGATTTGGCAGGCCATTGTATATCGAAAGGATTGGCTTGGTTGATCTCAATAAGCTCATGCAAGTATCTAGCACTGATCGATATGTAAAGTATCATATATCAGAACAAGAGAAAACTTTATCCTTGAGATATCCAGCTTGCTCCCTTGTGGCTAAGAAGCACATAGGCTCTACAACAGCCATATTTGATGTGAAAGGATTGGTACGTTATTGCTACACGAAGTACTTTCCACCTACTATTCTACATTAATACAATTGACAGAACTACCATTTCTTATTCTGTAAAACTGAGGACCAAATATGTCTTGAAAGCAGAATTGCAATGGTTGCACTGTACCTTGGTCCTTCCTTAAGGCCATTGCTGTACGACTTGTAAGGTTGTATTTCAATTACACATTCATAGCTGGAATAGAAATTCACATTCATGGAACAATAATATTTGCAGGGAACTTCCATACATCTAATCTGTTTGTTTGAAGTGCTCTCATTGGCATATGTTGAAGTTATGTTTTTACTGTACTAAGTTCATTGTCTTTACTCCAAATTCAGGGTATGAATAACTTTTCAAAATCTGGAAGGGACCTGTTCATAGAGATTCAAAAGATAGACAGCAATTACTATCCAGAGGTTTGTATGCCATGTCTAAACTTCAACGTCTTATCTGTCTCTTATGATATTATAAGTGAAAGTTTTAGACAATATGCATGCAGGAGTTAGTTCAATATATCCAGATGTTCATGGTTATTATTTGCAAAATGTGATATTGCTTTGTAAATTACTCTTCCCTCTTATATAACAGTATAAAATTATATGTAGGGGACTCCACTAATGTTCTTTGGTTAAAAAAAAAAGTAATATTGCTATATCTTTCAGTTCAAACAAATAAATGTAAACAAAACACACTGATAAGGTTGGTCAATAACATGTCTGATAGAGCAGAAATAATACCCACTATATATGTCCTCTAGCACCCGTGTGCTCTGCTACAGTGTGAATTCTAGAATAAGAAATGACAAAGTTATTGCATATGTTCAAAGCCATTAATCACTCCTGTTTGGCTATATGGTGTCATGTATCAACGTAGTAAGGAATTTCATTGGAGACATTTTTGTACCTTCACTTTCATCATATAGCTACTGATCTATTTTCTTGCCTCACAGCAGTCAGTAGTTTCCACTCTCTATTTATGTGGTCTTGCTTCTGATACAGACATTAAATCAATTATACATAATCAATGCTGGTGCTGGATTTAGAGCACTGTGGAAAGTATTAAAAGCATGCATGGAGGCAAGAACTTTAGCAAAGATTCAGGTACTGCATGTCTGCATGCCCTTTCTTCATGTGCTACTTATTGTTGGACAAATAGATTGAATATTTTTTTCTCACTTATATCCTTCTTGTTAGGTTTTAGGGACCAATTATCTTAGTACAATACTAGAAGCAGTTGACCCAAGGTAAAATGCTTAAAATTTTAAGCAAAATTTGCGTATATCACAGATTGAATGTTTGCTCCTTTCTGCAGTAATTTACCAGACTTCTTAGGGGGAACATGTACTTGTTCTGCAACTGGAGGATGCTTGCTCCAAGATAAAGGACCTTGGACTGACCAGGAAATTTCTCAAGCTTCTAAGGTGAGGTATGGTGCTTCTTTTTATAGTTCTTTGAATTTTTTTGGGGCGCTGAAACTGCAAGAAGTATATCATTTTGATTCCTGAAGCATATTTTTTTTTCCTAGGGAGTGTTTGGTAAAGGTCAGAAATCTTTCGATGAGATAAGTACTACAGTTGCCTGCGAAAACTTTCCAGGTCACCAGGTATTAAGGGTTGAGATGCCCAGTTCTTGTTGTCTTTTGCACGTTGGCTTTAGCAGGGTGTGTCCTATTTGTGTTTGGTCGGCACTCACTAGTATGGCACTGCTATGCTTTGCAGTTTTTCCTTTTTATGGATTAAACATTTCAGGTTTATTCGATTATTAATCTCTAATTTTATATAATATATCTATTGGCCAATTTTGTTGTAATAAATTGGCAGCCTGTCTGTGGGATTTGTGTGCTAAGTGTCCACCTAAAATAGGACAGTTTAGGGAGAAAAATAAAATTCATCACTTCTCATTTTATCTACCCATGTCATCTTCATTTGGTTCTTTCTTGTTTTCATTTCTAAATGCCATACCGAAAGAAAAATAAACATATTATTTTTGTTAACAGGAGCTTTCTTTCCTTAGTTCTGTCATGACTCTGCACTATGTCTCTCTCTTCTCCGCCATTCCTGTTGTAAAGGAACAGTTATGTATTCTTGATATTTAATTGCAGGAGCCTTCTGTAGGAAAATTGCATCCCATTTCTGGCTGGAAACGTACTCTTGGCATGTTGTTGAAGGATAACCAGGTCTGATGTTTTCCTTTCCCTTCATTGATTTTTGTTTCTGTACTAATAGAATTCAATCAATACTTTGAACGCTGCAACTGATAAAATATCACAAGTTTTTTCTGCTATGATTTGACTGTGTATGCATTTCAACTTAGTAGTTTAACGGTTTAACCAGATGGTCCAACTCTTCCTTGGGCAAGGAGAATTCGACAGTTGACGATTTTTTGATAAACTTCTATGGAACAGGTTGGCGATACGAATGAAAATATTCAACAGAATAAAGTGAATGAACAAATCTCAGAGAAGATCCAAGAACTTGAAAATTGCTCTGCTCAGACCCAGGAGGTGAGCAAAGGTACTCTCAGCTTAAAATATTGCAACCCACATGATCTTCAACAGTAGCTGAATGGCAATATTGTTGTTATGTTGTATGTTCAGACCCTTCACGCACTACTACAGAAGCAGAATGAGCTTGCGAACCACATTGAACAGTTGAGGAAGCTCCTCCGGTGAGAATCTGACATCTACTTTTGTTCTTTTCTCTAATTACAGCATATGGGATATTAAAATGTACTAAGTATCTGCTATTTTTTTCAACACAGGGAGGCCGCAAATGCAGACAACAAAGCAAACGTCCTAATCTTGAAGTGAAATTGCGTGCTTTCCAGCAGGAAGTGAAACGAGAAAATTTGAACCAGCATCGCATGGTAGAAATATTGCAGCATGGTAGAAAAGAAATACAGCAATAGACACGTCGGATAGTTCTCAGTAATGATTCCTTAATCGTTAGTCCCTTGGCTGGTAATCTAACACGAAGCAAATTAAGAAAGCAACCGTACACCATGATGATTTCAAAACGCAATGCAACTTCTTTGTACACATGCTGCGTTCTGTTGTACATTTGTAACGCATCTTTTCAGAAGGGAAAATGTTGTATGTACCACATCCTTTCAGAAGGAAAAAATGTTGTATGTGTTACTTATGAAACTACTTCTCCATCTCCTGCTAAGTCACTTAATGAGCGCGAAAGACCTACCCATTACAACAGCATCTAACACTCTGAGGATATATTAGTAAAATCAAAACGAACAAGTATAGTAATGTTGTACAATCAATTGAACCCCCAAACACAACCCAGCCAAAAAAATATAGGCCTATACCTGACATTGGCAAGAAAACTCAGCTCCGACTCCCCACTCTCTTTGTGATGGGTCAAGCTTTTTCAAGTATTTTTTTTAATTTTGGGGGGTTTCCGTCCGCAAAATGTGAGCTCGAGCCCAACCTGCTGCATTGTCAAGTGATCAAGTCGGATGGGGCCGAGTTTGAACAGGCCTAGCTACAACAAAGATAAATTGCTGTTGCAACATTCCCCTAACAAGTTCGCAACAGTAGGAAAAATAAACGAACAATATCAATTATGTAAAAAATTTAGGAACGGAAAGGAAGTGGTGGACAACAACGATGGTAACAAGAAGCGGCACGGTATTAACATCAAACTAGTAGGATGAGAGATGCATGTGTTACAGTTCTGTGAGCAAGTAGCATCATGGTAGGCGGAGCCCTAAAAAACAATATTGACCATTATCATAAGGCTTAATCTTTTGGTGTCACTTGCTGTAAATTAGGATGAGCTAACTGTAATAGGCCCGTGGTCGTTGGGATTGGGAGTAGAGCCATGCTAGCCTTGTTTCTAGTAGGAGGAAGAGGCGATCGATTCTAGATGTACCTTAACAATGCCATGTTTGACCCAAGCAATAGGGAGTGCAGCTGGAGTGGGAGAGAGATATATGGAGCATCTAAGGGAACGTTTGATTCTTTTGAACAACTTGCTTAGCTAGGCAATAGCATACTAGCTCACCTAGGCTATAGCCACAGGAGCAAGCTATCTAGTTGGTTGTTTTGCTAGGCTTAACGTTTGTTCGCTATTACATGGGCCTCAATGCCTGAGTCCTATGCTTGCCGTTGGAGGACAGCCAATTATGTTCTCCTCCCTAGGCAAGGACTTTCTTGCCTTAAGTGACTTCTCTCACCTAGCAAAGCTAGAAATTTTATTGCTCTACCAACATCAAACCTGGTTGAGCAAGGCTAGAAATAATCTAGCCTCGGATCCAAACGTACCCTGGACAAAGAAAATGATGGGAACGCAAAAACGCTAAATGAAACTTGTGGACAAAGAAAATGATGGGAACGCAAAAACGCAAAATGAAACTTGTGGACAAAGAAAAGAATGGGAACGTAAAAACGAGTGACAGTAATAGCTAAGAGGAGCCCACATGTGGAGGATCTGACGTGCAGAGATGCATCAGACATCTGATTTGTCGTATTTGTGGTGGATTTTACTTCTAGCTATATATGGATATCAGCAATGCCATGCATCACCCATGCAACGGACGTAAAGTTTAAGTGATATCTGTGTGCATAAGTAAATATATATGTAAGGGAAAGAAATTAGATAGTAGCATTAAAGTGATACTGGTTTATACGGATAATATAAACAAAAATTTGGTTGAGAAAAAAATTAATACGGATATCGATGTGGAGCTTCGAAGAGGAGAGAGGCATTCGATGTCCAAGTACATATATGGGTACCATATAAATCACCCATCAATATTAAAATTCCAACATAAAAGTTTTGAGATTGGGATATACTTAGAAAAAAAATACAGTTTTCACAAAAATCACCAAATTACCCTTTTAAAAGAGGGGCAGCCTAACCAGGTTAGGGTTCTCTATTTACATCTCCCAAGTCCCAACCGGATCGAACCAAAATCCCAAAACCGAAGGGAAACATAGCAGCCGGCTAAGGTTTCTCCCCCCTGCCGCGCCGCGCCGCCTCCCTCCAACGCCATGGATGCGCAGCGAGCTCTCCTCGACGAGCTCATGGGCACAGGTACACCCACCCACCCAGTCTCCCCCTCCCGCGGAAACCCTAACCCTAGCCTGACCGCTCCCTTTTCTCCTCTGCGCAGCCCGCGACCTGACGGAGGAGGAGAGGAAGGCGCACAAGGAGGTGAGGTGGGACGACCCGGACGTGTGCGCCGCCTTCATGGCCCGCTTCTGCCCCCACGACCTCTTCGTCAACACCAAGAGCAACCTCGGTATAATCCCCAACCCCTTTTGGCTCGGTTTCCGTCTTCTGGTTGGATCGATTTTGCGTGGTTTCGTGGTTCGGCCGGTGTGTTGTGTTGTGTTTTGGTTGCTTGATTTGTTGTTCGGTTTTGGTGATTGCAGGGCCGTGCATGAAGATCCATGATCTGAAGCTTAAGGAGAGGTAAGGCCCGATTCTCGCCCCCCTCAGAATTATCTAGGTTTTGGTGCTAAACCTGCGCCCATTAGTATGGGGGAAAGGTGATTATTGTTATGAGAAAAAAAATGGTACCATAATGTATGCTTACACCTAAATGGTATAGATAATTGATGCTTTTGCGCTATAAGATGTTATTTATATCATTGCGCGACTAGGTTTTGTTTAGTATTGAGGAATGAGGATTTCGGCCTTCCGCGTTTCCGTTGAGCTGGTATGTTGTACTTTCAGTTTCCCTGCATGTTTCCTGTTGTGATTTCTTCATGCACCTTGCTATTGAGAACTAAGATGCTGGATTACTTGCATCACACCATGTCTTGTATGTGAATACTGATGCCACGGCACTCTACGTAGTGTCTGAAGAAGCATCCAGTTCCAGATGTATTACACATAAGAAGCTTTACATCTTAAAAGATGTGTTCTCAATAAAAACAACATGGCAGAAAAAAAATCTTGTAATTTTGGGAGAAACTTGTTCAGCTGATAGAAATGCAAGGTTAAATGCATATTGAGAAGAGCAATGTAGGAATATACCTATACATCTTACAGCAGCTAATTTTGTTAACTAATTCATAGGTGGAACACTAATTTCTTTTGGGCAGAGGGAGTCTGTGCATGCCGCTTCTCAACAACTTTGATGCATAGGAATGGATATTCTACTTTTTCCTGCATATAACTTTGACTTTCGTACTACTGTACAAAAGAGTTCTTTAACAAGTTACGTTATATGGACATGTTCTTGTTTTAAGTTTGTGCATGGGCTTTTATTCGTTAATGTGACCGCATAGTTCGAATTAAGTGGAAATCAGGACGTTTAGAAGTGCTATCTGTGACTGTGGAAATCAGGATCGCTTAATTGTTGCCGCTAGTTCCGGACCAACCTAGTTTTATCTTATACGTTTTTGAAGATCCTTTATTAAGATATATCTGCAGGATACACACAATAATTGTCCAGAATGAGCATAATTTGTTTATGGGGAATATTGTTCGTGTAGGTCAGTGCAGGGAATATTGTTTCCTATGCAGTCACATAAGCATCACATGGCGAGGGTGAAAGGGATATACCTTTTCTCAATCAGACATAAACAAATTATTTTGGAATGACATCATTGGTTTGCAACATGTACTAGATGCACCCAGCCTGCTTGCGTCGTTATGAATATTGGGATGAGGGTTATCAAAGTTATTTTGGTCAATAACATTAAATGTATGCTGTATTACGCCCAATTTATGACTTCTTTTAATAGAATATGTTGAACCAAGAACATCTTTTTGACTGCTGGTCTGTCCCTTTATATATAGGGAGGACTGACTTGACATCCAAGGAACTAATCTGTAACATTATAGGAAACCAGTCCACATCTCTACCTCTAATTTACTATCGGAACTTATCTGTTTATTCCTAATCTGCCTTGCCTAACCTGCCAAATGGGTCTTGCGCATTCCCATAACCTATTTTGAATAATCAGTCCAGCTCAGTTGTTCTGTCGTGTACCTATCTGATATAGGGAGAGCAATTTATGCATTTAATTTTTTTTTCTCTGGGCAAGTGCAGCTTTGAGAGTTCTCCCAGGCGTGAAACTCACATGCGAAGGTTTGAGGCGGAACTTGCTCAACAATGTGAGAAACTGGTAAGTTGTAGTTGCAGACTTGCTTTGCAAATTCCGATAACTAGAGTATTTAATATCTTTTTTCTATTGCAGGTTATAGATTTGGATAGAAAAATAAGGCGTGGTCGAGAAAGGTTGGCTCAAGATGTTGCTGTGCCACCTCCCGTCATAGGGAAAACATCTGAGCAGCTTTCAATTATAGAAGAAAAGGTCAAGAAGCTGTTGGAGCAAATTGAGGAGCTTGGTGAAGCTGGTAAAGTAGATGAAGCTGAGGCACTTATGAGGAAGGTACTGTCATTAAAGATCCATTTTGATTGTGTACTTCTGTCAAATGCTTCTTCACTAACTGGTGTACCTGTCTCTTTATTTTTGGATTGCAGGTTGAACTTCTAAATGCTGAGAAGACAGCTTTAACGAATCAAGCAGATAATAAAGTGGCTATGCTTCCACAAGAGAAGAAGATGGAACTTTGTGAAATATGTGGATCATTCTTAGTTGCAGATGATGTTCTTGAGAGGACACAATCCCATGTGACTGGGAAACAACATATTGGCTATGGTTTGGTCAGAGATTTTCTAGCTGAACACAAGGTGAAGTATCATTTCAATAGAAGTACTAATGTTTATATTTGTATGTTTACTAATTGGAGGCTCCTCTAGAAGTCTCCATATTAGAATATGTGATTTTTGCCGCTTTTTTTGTCAGAATATGCTCCTAGAAATAATAAAACTATTATTCTTTGATATTTTCTGATTTGAGAAAATTCTATCTGTAGCACAAATATTTGGCCACTACCAATAAGTACTGCAAAACTATTCCACCTTCACTGTATACCATAATGTGGCCCAATTCCTTCCAAAAATGCAGCATAACTGGATGGAAGTGGACTGGGATGATGTTGCTACTTCTCGGGACGGAAATTGCGGCTGATGCATGGGGTTGCCAGGGCAATTTCGTCTTTTGAGAAGAAGCGCCGTCTGTCTCTGTTGACTTTGATCCAATTTTGTGGTACATTTGGAAGGTGCAGTTATCTTGCGGTATTTATTGGTACAAGCCAAATTGTTGTGCTATAGATGGAATATTTTTCATGTTTTTAGTCCAACACACCTGAAAGGTATTATCATGATGTGTATTTATGAGGTATAACGAAAATACTGCAATTTTTCTGAACTTACATTACGCAATGTTTAGCTTTCAAAGAAATTTAGTTCCAATATTCTCATTTAACTCTTGTTTGAGTGCTACATGCCATTTTCAAAGGGTGTTTGGACGTACTTGGAACTTTCTTATATTTTCTGTCCACTTGTTTTATGCATATGATGGGCTTAGACAACTATTATGAAATGGTGGGATTGTTTTGATGGATTTAAACATAATAACATTTACGAAATCACTAGCCCATGCAGGCACATGGGTTGATGGATATTGTACTGTTGTTCTAATTTATTATATGATTGCTTTTCTGTTCAGGCTGCAAAAGAGAAGGCAAGAGACGAAGAGAGGATTGCAAGGGAGAAGAAAGCAGAAGAACGTAGGAAACAGAGGGAAAAAGAGTATGATGTTGGAGGCAGGGACGGTGGTTCTAGAAGAGAGAAGTCTGGGGATCGTGACTATGACCGTGATCGTTACTATGACCGCAATCGTGGAAGAGAAAGGTCTCATGATCACAGAGATAGAGGATCAGAATATAGAAGCAGTTCCTACAGAAATGGTAGGGATTCTGAAAGAGACAGACACCGATATAGGAGTGATGACATGAGAAAGGACAGGAGTAGAGTGAGGAGCAGGTCTCGTTCTCCAAGCAGGCATGGCCCAGATCAGTGAACATATAGATAGTTTTATTCCGAGTTAAAACTCATGAGGTAGACCATTATGTCCCTTTCGCCATTTAACCTGTTGTACAAATGAGTTTTGCGATGTGTTGCGCTTGTTGAATCTCTGTTCTGCTGTAACAGCTCTGTTGGGACCCTACAGTCTTCCTTTTAGAGGGGAAAAAATATCAGGTAGGTATTGTTTACCTTTCCTAGTATTTTGAGTTACCTATATTAACATACAGTGAGGTTTTGTTTCAACATTTGAAACTGAAAATTAGTCTAATAAAGCTGAAAGCGTACAACAACGCTAGTATTGGACTGCAAATCTGGATATGCAGACACGTTCAGGTTCAGCCCTATTAAAGGTAACTGATCATTAGTGTGCTATGTCATGTGTTGCATGTTACCTATCTTGCCATATTCCCCTTTATGAAAATTACACGAACATTTTGGATATGGTTATGTTTAGTTGCCTTCATGCTAGGTTCGATTTTTGCCCTAATTTCCAAGTCATTCGCTAGGTTTCATTCAATTTCTTGCGACATTTATGCAACATTTTGAGTTAAAAACTGCAGGACTTAAGAACCAGCGTCTTCTTTCCTAAAGATTCAGTGCTCATGGACAGTTTATTCTCTCTCGAATCACAGTGCTTTCGTTATGACTGATGATAGATCTGCCGAATGTTTGGCTTCAGTTGCCTTGCTTGGTTTCATCATGTCAACATAAGGTCAACTGATGTTATTATGATCGTTTCACATTACAATTCAATCATGTACTGCTTGATCTGTTTTGCGTAGCTTGCATGTATGTCATCTGGTGCGAGGGTGGGGATCTCATAGCAAATGATGATTTCTTCAAGAAAGCATTTCCGAAACATGCTTTGCAGGATACACCCAAAAAAAATCGTTGTTCTTGAACGGTAACCTCTGCCTTCCTCTCATAATAACTGTTATGTTAAGAGAACAAAGGAACAATTAGTTTCTGTTGAGACTTGAAATCATAGAACAATGACCTGTGCATCTGTAGAATTAGGAATGAGGATAATTGTATGGTATGAGGAGAAAGGAACACTTAATTTCTATTGAGACTTGAAATCATAGAATGGATCTGTTGAACGAGGAACGAGAATAATTGTATGTTTAAAGAGGAAAAAATAACACTTGATTTCTCTCGATACTTGAAATAAATCATGGAGCAATTGAGATATGCATCTGCACGATCATGTCCATGAATGATAGACATAGAGTCTGGCGACCTGCGGCGACGTATGCTGGAGACTGAAATACTGCACCATCAGATGCCGCTCTTGGCGTGCTCGTCCAGATTTCTCCCCACGGCTCAGATTAATGTCGAAACGTCGGTAACTTGAAACAAATATTGTTGTCATCGTGTATTTTGTGTATGTAACAAATCCATAAGATTTACTTATTCCTGGGTTCGTAAATCCATACGACTACTTATTCCTGGGTCCGTGTATTTACAAGCTATAAATCCATAAGATTACTTATTCCTGGGTCCGTGTATTTACAAGCTACTAATAATAGTACAAAGAACACAGATCAAGTCTCGGATGATCATTTTATTTGGTCGTTGGCTGGCGGTGGTCGGCGATGCTGGCGTCCACCTTGTCCTCCACTTCCTCCCTCGCCTTGTGCTTCTGCTCCCGACCTCTCTCCACCGCCGTTTCCACCTCCTCCTTGTTCTGCATATATATGCCTCAGCAGCAAACGAACTGAAGCGACAGCTAAAATTAAGTAGCTGAGACGCGCGCGCGACTACGTCTACGTATACTCCATCCATACTCATCATAAAGTAAGTCGTTTAAGACAATGTTTAAGTTAAATCTTGAGAATATAAATCATGAATAACTCTCAAGTTATTAAGTTTAAAAATTTAAAAATTATATGAATAGATTTGTCTTGAAAAATACTTTCATAAAAGTTACATATATCACTTTTCAATAAATATTTTTATAGAAAAAAGAAGTCAAAGTTGTGCTTTGGAGACCGTGGCTGTCCTAAACGACTTCCTTTACGAGTACGGAGGGAGTACTTACATGGAGGGTGGTCGTGGCCGGCGAGCGCGAGCCGTGCACGGCGGCGCGGGTGGTGCCCTTCGCCACCGTCCCCATCGGCCGCGCCAGGGGCAGAGCCCAATAGGCCCAGGGGGGTGCCCAGGAACCCGGCCCAAAATTCGAAATATCTTGTAACCCCTATATCTCTACCACATGGGCACCCCTCTAGCCCAAACCAAGGAACCTTTCTCCATTGTCTAGCCTAAAACTTCCACTCGACAAGGCCCGGTCGGCCAGCCCATAGATTTCTTTATTGGTGGAGAAGGCCCAGCTGAGAGGAGATGAGGAGTCGCATCGCACGTGTTTTGATCGATTCATGCGCGCGTGACGACGAATCAGGGAGCCAGGGTAGCGAATCGGCGACCAGAAATCAGAGCGGCATTGTTCCGTCTTCCACAAAACGCGCGACTCGTCCCTCACCTTTCAGTCTCTCGCCGTCTAGATCTATCCCTGATTATGCCCGACGTGGCGACATCGGCTGCCCCTATCGCCTGGATCAGCCCTGGACACGTGCGGCAGTGCGGCCTGCCCTAGTGCCCTTGCCGTGCCTGCCGCTGGCCGCCGGTATCGCCTACTCCTACCATGCCCAACATCGGCCAGCAGTTCACTGTTCGCCACCAACTCCACCACTGCAGGCCGCAGCATCAAAATCCAATCGATAAGTCAAGTCCCGTTGGTCCCCTCTTTTAATTTTGCTAGACTATCCATAACCCATGATTATTGATTAAGTTAGTGTTTGTTGCTTGCATTGAACGGAGGGGAGTAGGATGACAGCAAGTGGCTAGTTATAAGATGGTTTCTTCATTATGGTACGTATATTTTTCATTTTTCTATGCATTTTCTTGTTGTATATTGACATCAATTAGAGATATGTTTCTTATATGTATTGGGTACACAACTATTTAGTACAATATCACTTTAGTACAATATCACTTCAGAATTATACATACCGGTATTATATTATAAAGAGAAAGTCAGGAAGCCCCTCATCTTTTCTTTAGCTCCGCCCCTGGGCCGCGCGCTGCTGGCCGGCGCCACCGCGGCGAGGAACCGGGCGCTCATCCTTGGACCCACCAGCAGAAGCGACGACATCTCCCGCAAGTATAGTTAGTAAACGATCGAGCGAGCGAGCGAGCTTGGGAGGATTCATCGCTCGGTGAAGTGGTTAAAGAAGGCGGTGGGCTGGACGGGTCGAGACGTGGGCGCTTGCATGCGTGCGAGCTGTTCAGGCTGTTCCTGTGTACACACGTAACGTTCTTGGTTACCGCCTTAGCGAATCTGTCCAGGAGAATGCATATATATATCTTGGTTCCACTAATCGATTGTTGCCGGGTGTTTGGTCTAGTGGTATGATTCTCGCTTCGGGTGCGAGAAGTCGCGAGTTCGATTCTCGCAACACCCCCATTGTATTTTTTTTACCTTTTAATTTGGCCATACACTTGTGGTTGTGTGGGCAGCCAATATAATGTTCTAGCTCGATCACCTGAACCCAGTGCTCAGTCTCTTAGATAGTTAGACGTGTCACTCCGTCACTGACATATGAGGTTTCTATCGGTAATACTACTATATTTTGTTTACATACAGGGTCACCGAATATATATATATATATATATATATATATATATATATATATATGTTATATTAAAAAATTCTGATAATACATATAGTTTCACTGGTATGTGCTATCGTAGAAATTGAACATGCACACGTCCTACAGGTGTTTTTTGAAAGAAAATAATTCACACATAACGTTCAGCTTGTTTGTGTTTGGTTGGTCCTTCAACTTTGGCCTGGTTTATTTCCCCCAATTTTTTTTTTCAAAAACATCACATCGAATCTTTGACACATGCATAGAGTATTAAATATAGATTAAAAAACAAATTACATAGTTAGGGGGAAAATCGCGAGACAAATCTTTTGAGTCTAATTAGTTCATGATTTGCCATAAGTGTTACATTAACCTACATGTACTAATGAGGGATTAATTAGGCTCAAAAGATCGTCACGCGGTTTCCAGACGAGTTATAAAATTAGTTTTTTCATTAGTGTCAAAACCCCTTCCGATATCCGGTCAAACATCTTATATGACACCAAAAAATTTTGTTTTCGCGAAATAAGTAGGCCCCCTGAGTTTGCTGTCCCGTTTGCTTTTCATTTTTCGCTCTTCTAACGCCCCCCTGAGTTTGCTATCCTTTAAAAGAAAAGGAGGGGGCTCTAAGGCACTATGTTACACAATTCTTTCGCTCCTGTCATGGCCCGAGTCTTTGGCTCCTATTTGTTCTTTGCGACCAGACATGTTGCTGACGGTTCTTTGCGTCTAAAAATTGCTAATTTTGCTCCTTCCAAATCTCCCATGATACTAGAAGGATAAGGCTACGCAAGCCTTTCTTTGGCACCCCAGGATTGGAGGCTAGACCCATCCACCACTCATGGCCTGTCGCATGGTTGTTCCAATTTGCTGGCTTAATTTACTCGTGGGAGATTCAAGTTGATATCAATCCCCAAATTCTCTTCGTGTACCTACATTCCGCCGTGAGGTGCATAGCCATCTCTAGGGTATGCTAGCAGAGTGGATGTTGTTCTGCCATCAGCGGGTCTCGAGGCGATCTGACGTCCATACTCTGTTTTAGATGATAAGCTATACAAAGAACTTGCATTTTCTCGGTGCCCAGGACTTCCATATGATTGTTGTGTAGTTTCTGCTTTGGATCTAAGGAACCACACTTTGTATGCAGACATCGTTATGTACTCTCCATGGGTTGTGAGTTTCCGTGTGATTTGATCTAGTTCGGCGTCAACGAGTTGCACATCTTGGACTATGTTCTATAGGGAGACTAGTTGGTCTAGGAGCTCAACTAGCATGTCACCATTGACTGAGAGGTCAAGGTTTTGTATGCATGTCTCACCTTCGAATGCTTTCTTAAGCGTTCTTTTTTCCTTGTGGATGTTGTGTATACCTGTGGTGCCAAGTCTTTCGGCCTTCTTCTTGGTAGCCATGCGGAGTCCCAGAAACGAGCTATGGATTCGTTCCCTAGGGATATTATGGTTGTCGCCACAAATAGGAGTATGTTCGTGTAGTCGCATGGTGTCCTAGTCCCCCATCCAAGTCTTTTCGGGGGCATTCCATTACTGATGAGGACTAGGGTCCCGATCTTCCGATAGGTACTGATAAGACAATTGTGAAGACTCGGCATTGCTGATCCAAAGGCTCCGCTCAGGCACTGATATGTATGTCATTTAAATAGTTATGAATTTTTTTAAAGAAAAATTAAGAAGATTTATTAACATATGATATATCACTCCACAGACATGCAATTTAAAATTCAACTTATACATATCGCAGAAAAGATAAATTTGACTATAAATGTATTTTTAGTTTATACGTTAACCCAAATGCAGATGATGGTTTGAGCGGTGGCATCTAGGAGCGGCACCGATGGCTCGGAGGTGGCGAGCTCCACCTCTGCCCATCTGCATCATCGGACACAACTAAGGGCCTGTTTAGTTCGCCAAAAGAAAATTTTTGGGTGTCACATCGGATGTTTGACCGGATATCGGAAGGTTTTTTCGGACACGAATGAAAAAATAATTTTATAATTCGCCTGGAAACCGCGAGACGAATCTTTTGAGCCTAATTAATCCGTCATTAGTACATGTGGGTTACTATAGCACTTATGGCTAATCATGGACTAATTAGGCTCAAAAGATTCGTCTTGCAATTTTCCTCCTAACTGTACCATTAGTTTTTTTATTTATCTATATTTAATGTTTCATGCATGTTTCTAAAGATTCGATGTGATGTTTTTGGGAAATTTTTTTTAATTAAACGGGGCCTAAACATAATCTTAGATAATTTTATTTTACTGTTCAATTTGGATTTACTATGTTTCATTTTTCTACTTTTTCATCTCATTAATTTGTCAATGTTTTTTTAAGTAGGAACTTAATGTTTTATATATGAGAGTAAAATGTTTCAATTTGAATTTAACACTGTTTCACACTCACATTTTTCCGGTTCTCAAGATGTTTAATGTTGTTTTATTTGTTGTGCACTACATTTTCATCCTTTCAAATGTTCAAATAACTGAGCTCTTTATTTACGACATATAATTTAACATTTCGCATACGGCAA